AAATAAAACTGGGGTGAATCAAAGAGGAGCCTTATCAAAATTTATGATGGGCAGTATGGAGCCTCGACAACAGGGGAGGCACTCAGCTCGTGTATGGAAGAACAAGAGCAAGCTATAGCAAGGCCTACTGGGGGGATTCAGCTTACCCCACAGAAACGGCAGGCAGACCAACAACAGGCAGAAAACATGGAAGGCATACAAACAGGTATAACACCAAAAAGACCAAAAGTGTTGGAATTCCAGGGAGAAGAAAGGGAGAGGGAAGCAACAACCAATTCAGAAAGGGATGGCGATGTGGCGGATCCTGCCAAGATGCAGGACCGCCCAGCCCAATGATTTGTTTGAGTTATAATTGCCGAGGGTTGGGGAATCCCTTGGCAATTAGAAAGGTGCGATCTCTACTCCAGAGACAAAACCCCCATGTGGCTTTTCTAATGGAAACTAAGAAACAGCAACATGAATGGAGGTCTGTGATTCAAAAACTGGGTTGGAAAAATGGATTTGGCATTGGCTCAGACAATAGGGCAGGTGGACTAATAGTTATGTGGCAGGAGGAAGTAAAAGTGGAAGTGAAAGGCTACTCAAACAACCATATTGACCTACTGGTGGAAGATCAAGGGCAACATTGGAGACTAACTGGCATATACGGATGGCCAGAACAGAAAAATAAAATAAGAACATGCAATCTGCTAGAGAATCTACATGGTCTAACTGATTTGCCATGGATGGTCATGGGAGATTTCAATTTGATTCAAAGTTATGAAGAGAAGAATGGGAAACAATTGGCAGTGGCGGAGGAAATGGAAGCTTTCAATCGAGCTCTTGGCTTCTGTGGCCTTGAAGACCTAGGTTACTATGGCAGAAAGTTTACATGGGACAACAATCACAAGGATGACACCTACCTAGAGGAAAGATTGGACAGGATGGTGGCAAACAACTCGTGGAGACATCTTTTTCCTGATGCTAGAGTAAATCATGTGAGAAGATGTGGGTCGGACCATAACCCTATCGTTCTAGTCACAGAGCTGGAGGAGGAAGAAGAGACTAAATGGGGGAAAAATTTTCGCTTTGAAGCATTCTGGCAACAACACCAAGACATCAAAGCAGTAATTAAAGAGGGATGGGAAGGGGGTTCCCACCACAGCCTACTGGAAAGGGTAAGGGACTGCGAAACTAAACTAACACAGTGGAGCGAAGCAGAATTTGGGAGTCTAAAGACAAGAAAGAGGAAGATAAGGAAGGATCTTGCTAAGATTGAGCGACTGGCCATGAACACTACCCTAGTTTCCCAACGACAGGGTCTGGAAAAAGAGCTGGACGAGATCCTAGAGGTGGAAGAGCTACGGTGGAAGCAAAGGTCCAGATCAGATTGGCTTCGAGAGGGGGAGAAAAACACGAAGTACTTCCATCGAAGAGCTTCAGAGAGAAGACAGAGAAACATGATTAAGAAATTGGTGGGAGAAGATGGTACTCAATTCAAGGGCCAAGAACAAGTTACACGGTGTTTAGTGGAGTTCTACAAAACCTTATTCAAAACAGGAGGCCGAACTCCGAGCAATATAGTTCTGGATGCAGTTCCTAGGAAGGTGACTAGTGGGATGAATGAGGAGCTGCTGAAACCGTTTACAAGGGAGGAAATCTGGGAGGCTCTAAAACAGATGGGTCCCCTTAAAGCTCCTGGAGCGGATGGACTTCCAGCATTGTTCTTCCAGAAGAACTGGGATATCCTAGGGGATGATATAACAAAAGAGCTACAAGGATTCCTAGAGGCTGGCACGTTTCCACAGGCTCTAAACCACACCCTGTTGGCTCTAATTCCGAAGAAAAAAGCCCCGAGAAGCCCGGTGGAGTTCAGACCTATCAGTCTGTGCAAAGTACTTTACAAAATCCTGTCTAAAGTACTAGCAAACAGACTTAAGGGGGTCCTTGATGATATCATTGTGGAAAACCAGAGTGCCTTTGTCCCAGGGAGGCTAATTACGGATAATGTGATCATTGCTTTTGAATCTTTCCACACAATGTCACAGAAAAGACAAGGAAAAGCTGGTTACATGGCTGCTAAGCTGGATATCACAAAAGCTTATGATAGGGTGGAGTGGGATTTTCTGGAAGCAATCATGGAAAAACTTGGTTTTGCTAGGAGATGGATTGACCTAATCATGAACTGCGTTTCAACAGTCTCCTTTTCGATTTTGGTCAATGGTCATCCCTCAGAGACTTTTTCCCCCTCACGAGGGTTGAGGCAGGGAGACCCTATCTCCCCTTACCTGTTCTTACTAGTGGTCGAAGGTCTCTCAGGTCTAATCACGAAAGCAGAAAGGGAGAAACAAATAAGTGGGATCAAAGTGAAAAGAGGAGCCCCAGTGATATCACACCTACTCTTTGCTGACGACAGTATCCTATTCACAAAGGCTACCAAGCCAGAGTGCGAAAAATTGAAGCAGATATTGAACCTCTACGAGGCAGAATCAGGACAGCAGGTAAACCTAGTGAAATCAGAATTGTCGTTTAGCCCAAACATCAAGGAGGACACAAGGAATCAATTAGCAGCTATCCTGGGCATGAAAGTAGTGGAATCCCATAAAAAATACTTGGGTCTACCAACTAGAATTGGACGGGAGAAGAAAGCAGTTTTTAGCTACTTGGTGGATCGGGTTAGACAGAAGGTCAAACATTGGAAGAGCAAGTTGCTTTCAGTGGGAGGCAAGGAGATTCTAATTAAATCCGTGGCCCAAGCACAGATGACTTATGTTATGTCACTTTTCCAGGTCCCGGTTGGCACTCTAAAGGAGATACAAAGCATCACTGCAAACTTCTGGTGGGGACAACAAGAGGAGGAGGGAAGGATCCATTGGTTGAAGTGGGAAGAGCTGTGCAAACCTAAAAAATATGGTGGAATGGGTTTTAAGGATGCAGCCGGTTTCAATCAGGCTCTACTGGGCAAACAAATATGGAGAATTATATCCAGACCAAAATCACTAGTCACAAGAGTCCTCAAAGCAAAGTACTTCCCAAACAGGGATGTAATGGAGGCTGAAGTGGGGAGCAATTCGAGTTTCTTGTGGAGAAGCCTAATGAGTTCGAGAAAACTAGTGGCTAAGGGATACAGATGGAGGCTAGGGAACGGCAGCAGTATTGATATTTGGTTGGATAGATGGGTACCAACAGCTAAAGGGTACAAAATTCAAACCCCTATGACCCCCATTGGTGATACAACCTCAGTAGCGGAACTCATCGATTTTGATACAAACTGCTGGAACATAGGGCTGATACAGGAACACTTTCATTTGGAGGATCAGAGGAATATACTGAAAATCCCTATCCCCGTGGAGCTAACAAGAGATGTAAGAGTTTGGGGCCTAGAGAAAACAGGGGACTACACAGTGAAATCTGCCTACAAACTATGGTTTAATCGAAACGAAGAAGAGATAGGGGAAATCTACTCCCCAGTTAACTGGGACAGGCTGTGGAAGCTTAACCTCCCCCAGAAAATCAAGGTATTTGCATGGAAGTGGGTGCGCAATATCCTCCCCACAGGAGCAAAGATCGTGTCCAGGATTCAAGACGGAAATGAGGAGTGCCCCTTCTGTGGGCTATCGGAGACTCAGAGACATATTTTCCAGGACTGTGATTGGGTCCAGAGGGTGTGGAGACCTAGCTCATTAATTCCAATGTTCAAGAAGGGTCAGGGCGTTACCTCGGAGGAATGGATGTGTGAACTACAGGAGATGGCCACGGACGAGATGCTGGAACGGTTCTTGGTGGCACTGTGGTTTACCTGGGATCAAAGAAATTGTCAACTGTGGAACAAACCAAAAATGGAAGAATGGGAGATAATCGGGCGGGCGGAAAGGTGGATCGATGAGTACCAGGAAGCACAACGGAGAAAAGAGTTTCCCATCGGCGGAAAGCGAGAGAAATGGAGTCACTCGACCGTGGCAGAGCTCACAATCAATGTTGATGCGGCTTGCTTCTCAAATCTTGGGACAGGATTGGGGGTGATAGCTCGCACCAGGGCTGGGGATCTCCGACTAGCGGCTGTCAAGCGATTGCACCGACTTTGGGACCCGGAGATGGCAGAAGCGATGGCGGTCGATTATGCGGTGGAGGTGGCGAGACGCTTTCATTTCTCCGATGTGGAGATTCAGATGGATTGCATGACGGTGAAGCGGCTCATCAGAGGGGAGAGTGAGACACAGCTGGAACTGGGCCGGGTTTGCAAAGAAATCAAAGAGAAAGCGGCTGCCTTGGGCCACTTTCGATGGGAGCATGTAGAACGCAAATGGAATGAGCCGGCCCATTTTTTAGCCCATTGGGATTGTGGTTGGGAGAGAGAGATGTTTTGGGTTGATAGTCCACCAAACTCTCTTGTTACTCTGATACTTAAGGATATTCATGTACCTAATCCCATTTAATTAATAAAAGCAGGTCGTTTACTTCAAAAAAAAAAAATTAATTGAATAGACAATAGACTAAAATGAATTAAATAAACAGAAGAAAAAAAACCAAAAGCTCCATAGCAGCCTTAGGTTGCCGCCGCTGGGAAGGACATCGCCGCCGGCGTCGAGGAATGAGCTCGTTTTCAAGATCAGCCTTCTTTTTCCCTTTTTTTTTTACTCCGTCCGCCGGCCGTGGTCGGACGGGGTCCTCCCGGTCGTGGCAGGATCTGGCGGCGGTGGCAACGGTGGTCTGATACCGACGGCGGTGGTGGTCTGCAGGTTGTGGTGGTGGATGAGGATTTGTGCTTTAAAAAAATTTATGAGGGTAAAAATGACATTTTTACTAAAATTATGGGCGGCAAATAGTAAAAAGTCGGGCGGCAAATAACAACCCTCTTTCTTTTTAATTAGATATGCAAGTGGTTGAATTGTGCATAATTTGCTATAGTGAAAGATGAGAAATATGATGTAAGAAATTACTATAATTATTCAATGAAAATAAAGAAATGAATATATAGGTCATTGTCTTTCACTTATAAATTATAAATAAATGTGTGTAATAAGCGCTTCTTCTCCTTCTTGTTGGGCTTTCAATTCCACTCTCGCCACTCCCGGCGAGCGGGCCTACTGAGAACAACCAACAACCCTTAATTGGGCCTGTTCTTAATTTCTACGCTAGAGTGAGTTGGGCCTGTTCCCTAGCAGAGCAACGAACAGAAAAAAGAAAGGAAAGAAAAAGGGGGAAAAACTCGAAAGAAACAGAGCAGCAGCCCATTCCCTCCCTCCCTCCCTCCCTCCGCTTCAATTTCAGTTTCGGTAGAGCGGAGAGAAGAGGGGAATTTTTGCTTACAATTGAAGAAGATGCCTGTCAAGAGAGAACCCTGTAGAAACTTTCAGCGGGGAAGGTGGAACTTCTCTTCTTCTTCCTATTCGTCGTCGGTGGGATTATGATGTGGGGGGTTTTTGGAGACTGATTCCCCCGTTTATCATCTGCAAATCTTCTCACATTAGTTTGTGTTGTTTCGTTTCTTGGCCATGGCAGCTGTCAGTACGGGGAAAGATGCAAATTTCTTCACGTAGTCCAGCAACAGGCAAAACCCAGTAACCCCTTTGGATTTGGCTCTGGCCAGCAACAACATCAGCAGCAGCAGCAGAAGCCGAACCCTTTTGGGTTTGGAGCGCAGAGCTCCAATCAGTCAAGAGGGCCTGGCGGGTTTGGTACCACACAGCAGCAATTCAAGGTTTTTACCACCCGCCCTTTGTCATGTTTCTCTTTCTACGTTGTACATTCCACGTTCGAGATTGGTTTTCCTGATTGATGTGTGGCTTTGAATCTTTAGCCTTTTGAGAATAAATGGAGTCGTTCAGAGAATGGAGCTGGCCCTGGTGCATCTACGACGAAACAGCAGGCTGATAACAAGGGTCAGGCAGCTAATCATACGTAAGTTGGTTAATTTGGTTGCACCAACTGTTTTTGGTTTTTCGGGTTCATATTACTCCTCCAGCCTATTGTTCTTTACCTGAGATGGAATGCAATTGGACACTATGTGAAGGTGCACTGACCCTGAATCCTGCAAACGTATGATTGCTGAAGACTTTGAGCAGGAGAGGCCAATTTGGAAGCTCACTTGCTACAGTCATTCCAGGAAGTATGTTTCTCTCTCGCGAGCCTGTGGTTATTTGATCATATAACTTTGAGCTCCATTGTTTTGGTTAATTGATTAATATGCATTTCTGTTGAAGCTGAAGTCTTGTGTGTCGATCAACTCCCTATGCTTTGACTATGGGAAACTCCCACTTTGAACTGTAACGCTAGCGAGCCTTTTGCAGTGGTCCCTGTGACATTGTTGGTGACATTAGCTATGAAGAACTCCGAGCAGTTGCCTACGACGATGCCAAGAGAGGGATGAATTTGCAATCAATTGTGAGTATCTGAGTATGGCACTTGTATATCATTGTTCTTTTCGCCCATAATACATACACAAGTTCTTACATAATGATGTCATTCGTGAGATTAATCTAGTTTAAGGTTTTTGTGAATAGCTTAATTTCTATCATCCGAAAACCTAGAAAAGAGTTAGAAGCTTTACACTTGAACACATTCAACAATCACAAAAGCAAACCATTCAGGGATAACGGACTGCTGAATGCATATGTTATATTATTCAGGACCATGTGTTCAAGTTTTTGAGCAATGCCCAATTATGACAGGAGCGAGTGTCTAACTAAGCCATGCATTTTATGTATATAGTCTACCAAACTAGTGGATAATCCTCTCCTTCAAGTATAAGCTCATTGAAGTAGCGAGCTGTTCTGAGAATTACTAATGCTGGATAGGTTCCTCAATGATTTGGAAGCGCTGAGGGTAGCATATGTCAATCCAACGTTACAAAGGATATCTATCTGTCCCTTTCCAGTTATTTACTAAACCCGCCTTATGCCTACACATAAGTTATGTGCTAGTTCCAATATACAAGTTCATGTTTCTTGCAAATTGCAATGGTTGTGAAAACTTTGGTAGAGGGAACCATATGTGCTTTCTTCAGTTATTTTATGAAGTTCACTTTGCTGCAGGTTGAAAGGGAGAGAAATCTATCAAACTCTAAATTGGCTGAGTTTCAGAACCTTATCCGCAATCCTTATGTACCACCTCAAGGATCTGCTTTTGCCTCTCAGAGTCCATTTCCTGGACAAGCTAGCAACGGGTTTTCGCCTACTGGTCCGAGCAGTGCTCCTCCACAAGTGTCTAGCTTCAGCCAGCTGGGTCCATCTCTTAATATGGGGTTTGCCGCAAGGTAGAAGTGTGATGAAAGCAAATGGTTCCTTCAATACATTCTTACTGTACTTTTTCTCATGAGTCTAACATCTTACTGAGTGGGTTCCTTTTTCCTGTGTTATTATCTGCTGTAAATAAAATTCAACTTTCAGGCCCACAGGACAAGTACCAAACAATATCACCAACCAACCAAATCTTTTCTCAAGTTCTGTTCAGGCATCAAACCCCTTTGGAGTGAGGTTACAAACTGTAGTATTAGCATTCACAACTGACAAGCTCTTATATGCCTATATGATCCTTTCTTACACTCTTGACATGTTGTCTCTTTGTTTAGGCCCCCTTCACAAGTGAATAATCCTTTTGGCCAGCCAAATAGTTCCCCCTTTACACAGAATTCAGGAGCAGTCGTGGCGAATAACATTCCTACTGCAAATAGTGAGACCATCTTTTGTAGTTTCATTTTTCTTACAATCAGGCATTTGGTCCTCCATCGTCACTTAAAATGGATATTTGGCATTGCTAGGTCCATTTGGAGTCCAAAATTCCAATCAGCAGCATCAGCAAGGAAGTTCATTTCCCTCAAACACGACAGGGTTTCCCGCCAGTGCCAGTGGCAATCCATTTTCTTCCTTTGCAGCATCACCACAAAATTTTCAGTCATTTACTCCGCAGAGTCCTAATAGTTTGAATTCCGTAGCACCATCTGCAAATATTCAGTCAGTGTAAGCCTGCAACTTGAGAGCACTGATAATTTTTTTATAGATTAGTTATTAGTCTCGGTTTTAACATTTTTGTAAACCTGCAGAAATAGTAGTGGTCCAAATAATACCGCTTCTTCGGGGGATATGAGCATCTGGTCAAAAACATGGTCTCCTGGAGAGGTAAAAACTATAAGACTTCTTCTCATCTACTGCCTCCGTTCCTCCTTGTGTAGCATGAATGTGATTTTGTTCTTATTTCCTTTGTATGCCAGATTCCAGAAGAAGCACCTCCGCCCGAGTATGCTTACTGATCAACACACACGGGTATTAAACTTAAGCTGTATTGGCACAAACTGCTCAATCGCCTTTCACTTTCGAAACTGGATAGAATGCACACTTCAAGATAGAACATGATTCGGTTTGATAGAAGTCTGTTCATGTTAAGGCTTTTGGTGAATCTGGGAATTCTGCTGTGTTTTTGTTATGTATGAGAAGTGAGAACTGAGAAGAGCTTCATAGCTTCTAGCTGTTATATACTATAGTGTAGAGAGAAGAGACAAAGGATTGTAGCAGAAGATGTTCTGAAATTTAATTTTAGTTCATCCATGATCCAAGGTACCAAAATGGGATGAAGCTGGAAATTGATGGTGTGGCCCCCAAAAATTATGGGGGGAAAAGTGATATAATAATGATATGCTGGAAAGAAGAAAGGAGAAGGAAAGGGGAAGAAGAGGTTGCCACCCTGTGCTAACCTGGAGCAGGTGATCTGTAGGGAGGGATGAGAGGAAGGAAAGAATATGGAGAAAATAATTATTAAACAACTGGGCTAACAAGGTCTGTGATTTATGCATTTTTTTCTCAATGTCTACAAGGAGGCGAATGTTGTCGCCGACTATCTAGCCAACATACGTAAGTTCCTTTCGATATGTTCTCGTAGTTTTGTAGCACCCGACGATATGCTTTCTTAATTCTTACTGGTTGTATCATGACGTTCTTAAGATTCGAACTATCCATTTTGTTGTTGAATTAAGGTTGGGTGTCCTGTATGCGCTTCTTTTCTTAAAAAAAAAAGAAAGTCGAAGAAAAAACTGGGTTGCTTGTGCAAAATGCAATACAGCAGTGTTTACTTACTAGCAGAGCAGGATTCACGCCAGCTGCTTGTTTGGCAGCAGAGAAGAAGACAGCGATATGTAACATTCCCTCTCCTTTTTTTTCCTGTTACGCGTTTTCCCTTCTGTGATCCTTTTTTCCAATTTGTGGGCGAAAGGGAAGTTCGTTTGCTGGAGATGGAAAAGAGAAGACGACCTTTTTCCCATTACCCTTTTTTATTTTCCGGGTTCTAGTTTTTGGGTTGTAAAACTTATTAAGAAAAAGAACTAGATTCTGATGAATTTGCAAGGAAAAGGAAACGCATAATCAATGGGCCTTGTTTGCTTAATGCATGTAGCTAGTTGTTCGATTAGATGAACTTAGTTATCGAATAGTGTGTATTATAACTGATCGAAAATGAGCTCGAGAAGTTTCGTGGTGAATGATCCAGCAATGAGCATGCATCATCGAACCGATAAAAGAACCTTTTTAAGAGTTGAGTGTCGAGAACAAGTTGGTTTTCAATAACTCAAATTGTTGGGAGAGCCTCGTCAAACGAAAGCCAAATTACATGACCTGAAGTTCTTACAAGTCCGAATACCATATGATTAACAAATGGGGTCGTCGGAATTTGAACACAAGATCTCTCTCCCATTGAAGGCTTCGATACCCGATGTCAAGGATCATTAAATTATGGGACCTCCTACAGTAACTTGGGTATAATTTCAAGTTAGCTAACTTGTATAGATTTAAACCGTTAAAATCGATCAAACTTAATGTAAACCATTGATTAAAGAAATAAAATAAAATAAGTAAATAAGCAACGACAACAAGGGGTGCCAGTCACCACATCCTCAATTTACCTGTTTTATTTTTTTCTTTCCTTTTTCACATTTGGTTGGTTTCCTTATTCTATCCTTTCCTTTTTTTAATTCTTATGGAATTAGAAGCGTTACGTAAGACTTCCGTAATAACTTAGCTCTTTACGTAACAGGACGTTAATACTCATTACGTAAAGAGACCTTCCATTACGTAAGGCTTCCGTAATGATATTTTACAACTGTTACATAAAATACACATTCATTACGTAAAGGTTACGAAACCATAGTTATTTCTTAAGTAACGATTAAATTAGAAGTGTTACGTAAGGCTTCCGTAATGACTTAGCACTTTACGTAACACGAGGTTAATACTCATTACGTAAACAGACCTTCCATTACGTAAAGATTACGGAACGACAGTTATTTCTTATGTAACCGTTAAATCAGTAGTGTTACGTAAGGCTTCCGTAACGACTTAGCATTTTACGTAACGCGAGATTAATAGCCATTACGTAAAGACACATTCTATTACGTAAGGCTTCCGTAATGATCTTCTACAACGGTTACGTAAGATTACCATATGTTACGTAACTATTACGTAATGCCTATTGTATTTTAGGTAATGCGACCTGTGAAACCTGCTATAGCAGGTAAAAAATTCAAGTTACCTTACTTCAAGTTATTGTAGGAAATCCCTAAAATATATATCGTATACCACTCTCTAAGATTTTAACCACCTTTTTATCACAAAATGAAAATAACTAATATTTCTAATTTTTTGACATAAATTACATACTCTTTGAGTCGACCTGCCCCGACCCACGCCACCGTAATAAATTACCCGACCTGCCATAGGACGGATATGGATATCGAGATACCTGCCCCGGACCTGCCCATTGCCATTCCTAGAAAAATGTCAAATCTGACTCGACCTAGTTTCATTACAAACTGTAAAGTATAAACCGATAGGTGAAGATTGATTACCTCATAGATAACAAAAGCGTGCATGAACCATAATTGTCTTCACGACATATTTGACAAAAGCCATATGGTCATATTCACATGATTAGTTTTTCGCCGTCTGAAATGATGAGATTAAAACATTTACACAAAGGACAGGTAAGCAGTTTCTTCATTTCTTGAACTGATATTTGCATTACTATTGTCAAAATTAACGTCAACAATCAGATTTTGATCTGCCTCCCTCCCATCAGGGATGGCAACGGTTCATATTGGATAGTGATTATTCATTACTCTACTCTAATTGGTTCGGGTTTTATTGATAGTCATATTCGTGCATGATTTGTGTAGATAATTACAACCATGCGCATACTCAATCGGGTTTTGGTTCGGGTTTTATTGATAATCATATTCTACACAAATAATAGTGATTATTCATTACTCTACTCTAATTGGTTTGGGTTTTATTGATAGTCATCTTCTCAGTTATTGTGTCACTCATAATAAATATAGTAACATTACATAAGCGGAAAATTATAAGTAATAAATCACAAATACTAAGGGAAATAATAATATTAAAAAAAAACACTTGTTCCTGAGATGCTACAAATATACTAGAAATAGTGAATATGTTAAAATAAAAAAATGAAGATTTATACAAAATATGTTGTATGCATGCATAATTGGGCGGGTTTGGATTGAATATTGAGAAAATCATACCCGTCTATTATCCATAATATTCAAGTTCGAATTTTATCCATACTACAATATAATTTATATTAACTGAATTACACCTTACCCGATCGAATCGGATTCGATCGATTATTCAAAATTATTAATATTTTTGTCATCCCTATCTCGCACCACAGTTCCCTCCCCAAAAAACCACACCTGTACAACTAAAACACGCCTCCATGTCTCGCCGACGGCGCCGAGAGAGCGATTGTCTCTTTGTTGTCGTTGTCCTTTTTTTTTTCGAGTGCTTAATTTTTCCTCCAAATACATCCTTAATAATTAGTCCTAAAATGTATCGAAAAACATCCTGCCGAAAAACAATACACAAATGTGGCATGTGATGGTGGGCATGATTAGCTGGTTGATTGGCATCCCACCACCATTTCCATGTTTCAATTTCTTAAGACACATTAGCCCTCCACATTCCCAACCCCACAAAATTCATTTCTAGTAGGATTTTTGCCCTAATTAGTTAAACCCGCGTTCCCTATTTAATTTACTTCATTCTGACATTCTCTAACACAACTCCTTATATGAAATGCAACTCATGGGCTGAGAGTTTGCACATGCCCACCATACATTGTGTTTAGATCAATTGTTAATAATGAGGTCGTAGAGATTCGAACACACGACTGCTTGGTCAAACCAATTCTCATACTATGTCGTGAACCAATATGTCTTTTGTTCGAATATCCATGTTAGAAACCCTCTTCTAGGGTCTCTCGATTCTGATCTTCGGCACCGAGCAAGTACTTGTAACAAATAGGGATTTAGGGAAATTGGGAATAAAGAATTGAGGATTTAGAGAGAAAGAGCATAATAGAATCAAGAATCGGCCGATGCCTTGGAATGGGGAAGAAGAGAAATTGGGTTTGAGAGAGGTGGTTTAGAAGAGATACTTTGTTTAATACTTTTCTCCCCTGATTATGACAAAAACCGAAAGTACATATTTATAGAAAAATACGAGAAAACTCTAATAATAATATTCCTGATACGACTAAATCTCTACAAACCATAATTATAATTATCCTACTAATAAATGATAAGAGAAACCCCAAAAGGCGGGTTTCTAACAATCCCCCCCCCCCCCCCCCCCCCCCCCCCCGCCACCCATTTGTTCGAACCTCTGTAAAATTCAAACCCTAATAAGCGATTTTCGTGATTTTCGTTTAGTATGTGATATAAAATCCATTGTTGAACCTCTCCCAACGACTCAAGTTATTGGAATCAACTAATTCTTAACCGGCAATGAGCAAAATGTGTGGAGGGAAGATACATGAAGAATGGTAGCTAGGTTTGCTGTGGGCTGGCTGATTTGAATAAAATGGATAGATTGGTCACATAAGAAGATTGAAGAGATTAGTCAGAAGGGTTGGTGAGGAGCCTTCCTCTAGCTGTTAATACAATAGAGTTAGTGCAGCGCAGTGCAGTCAGGCTCAGGCCACACCAAAACAAAAGAAATGCTGCTGCAAATTGCAACGTGGAAGCGAGTACTGCTGCAGCTTCAATCTTTTGCCATCGTGCATAGCTGTATAATTTCTACTCTCTTTTCACCTTTTCTTTTCATTTCTTCCCCCCAAATCTTCAACATCATTGTTTTCAATTAATAAAAGGACCTACCTGCTGCAGAATGCAGAAGCTTGCAACACAGACAGTTTACTCATTAGTACACAGTAGTATTTCCAATGAGCTGCTGTTAAAAGAAGAAGAAAAAAAAAAAACTTCAACTCTAGTTAGGTAATTTAAGTTGGCAGGTTTTCTATATGCTTAATGTTATGTAAAGTTGTTCACGGTCTGAAATAATGGAAACACATATGCAATCCTCTCTTCGTGAGTAATTGTATTCATTTTTAGTATACAAGGTTACAGAGTAATTCCTCCCAAGATAAAAATGATGTACACTTTCGACGGAGTGTTACCTCAAACCCCAGAAAACAACGAGCGCAAACGAACCGCACTGGCTGAGAAAGAAAACAATTCTTGTCTTTTTTCTGTCTACAAAACCAGAGGGGTTTGGTGCTATTTGTAGAAAATGAAGGGGTGTGCATACGAAGGGAAGCTACTCTTTGAGTGGGTGGTCGTACCCCAACCATTGCATTGGTTCATTTAAAACTTTTCCAACCAATGCATAAGTTCTGCTTGGTTCAAATCGATTTGGGTTGATTACACCAACCAATCTACCCTCTTATCTAGATATTTAAGCAAACAACCCGAATCTGAGGCCTCCTTCATATATCTCACAAATATGATTTTATAAGAGCTTTTCTCTTGGCTCCTTTGCCTTTCATTCTTATTCATACCATTCAAAATTCCAACACATATGTGAATACTCTTCCACCTAACCGAATCCACATCCTCGATCTTATTTCATTTTTTTTTTGTATGATAGAGTCCGTGGCGGAGCGAGACCTAAAAATTAGGTGTGTTCTTTTTTCCAAAATACAAACTATTTCGATTGGGGATTTCACTTAAAGTGTACTTAATTAATTATGACAATCAAATAACAATTAGTAAGCTTCAGTACGGTGACAAAATAAATTTACTGTCACTTTAAATCGGCGAGTTCAGTCCTTTCCATACGTGTATATAGGAATTTTATAATCGTTTTACCAAAACTTATCGGTGTCCCGCGTGACAGAGCCAAACCTCTCTAGCTCCGCCACTGCTCACTCCACTTATTATGTTCATTGTATTTCGTTTTTCCAAATTCCAACTTCAGCAACTACACGTATTTGGTTCGTGCCTCCCATGTTCTCAATTTCTTTCATCAATATTCCCATTTGACCTCTTCCTTCCTAACCTTCCTCCCAAACACCCCCCAAGAATTTCATCCACCTAATTTTCAATTAACCACTCTCCCAAGAAAAAATACAACAATTATCAAAAAGAAATTAGTAAAGCTGGAGCCGCGCTTCCAACTAGAAATACCTCAAAATAAATAAATAAAAACAATTAATAATCCCTCCCTGCCAGTTTTATTTATAAAAACAGGCCCCTCAACATGGCTAAACGGAAAACATGGGCAGACTGTCCTCTCTCCCTTCTTCCTCTTTCCCTCTCTCTCTCCTCTTTCAAATTTCCTTCACCTGACTCCAAAAAAAAATCAAATAATATTACACCGCCATCCCTCTTTCTCTCTGCCGCCACCGCCCTCCTCCCACCAATGCGCCGCCGCCCAATGTCTCCCCGCTCCATCTCCTCCCTCTTCTTCCTCTGCCTCCTCATCTCCTCCGCCTCCGCCGCCGACGATGACGACGACTCCGAGGCCGTCCGCATCCCGCGTTCCATGGGATTCGAAAACCCCCGCCTCCGCAATGCCTACATTGCCCTCCAATCATGGAAGCAGGCCATCTACTCCGACCCCTTCAACTTCACCGCCAACTGGACCGGCCCCGCCGTCTGCTCCTACTCCGGCGTCTTCTGCGCCCCTTCATTAACCAACCCCAAGCTCCGCGTCGTCGCCGGCATCGACCTCAACCACGCCGACATCGCCGGGTACCTCCCCTCCGAGCTCGGCCTCCTCACAGATCTGGCCCTCTTCCACATCAACTCCAATCGGTTCTGCGGCATCGTCCCGAAGTCGTTCCGCAAGCTCAAGCTCCTCCACGAGCTCGACATCAGCAACAATCGGTTCGTCGGGGAGTTCCCCACCGTCGTGATCTCCCTCCCTTCGTTGAAGTTTCTGGATCTGAGATTCAACGATTTCGAAGGCTCGGTTCCTTCCGAGCTCTTTGATAAGCCGCTGGATGCTCTGTTTTTGAATGACAATCGATTCCGGTTCGGGATCCCGAAGAATCTGGGGAACTCGCCGGTTTCGGTGCTCGTTTTCGCCAACAACGACCTCGGCGGTTGTATCCCGGGGAGTATTGGGAAGATGGGGAAGACGCTGAATGAGATTATTCTGATGAATGATAATCTCACGGGCTGTTTGCCTGCCGAGATCGGGATGTTGAAGGAAGTTACGGTGTTCGATGTGAGCTTCAATCATTTACAGGGCTCGTTGCCGTCGAGTATTGGCAACATGAGGAAGGTTCAGCAGCTCAATGTGGCGCACAATCAGTTCACCGGTGTTGTTCCGGCGAGTGTTTGCTCGTTGCCGAATCTGCAGAACTTTACCTACTCGTTCAACTACTTCTCCGGTGAGGCGCCGAGCTGCGGTGCGGTTCGACGCGGCGTGGCGGTTAATGGGACGAGGAATTGTGTTGATGGGAAGGCGAATCAGAGATCTGGTAGGGAGTGTTCGTCGGGAGCTGCGCGGCCGGTTGATTGTAGCAAGTTTAAGTGCGGCGGAGGAGGAGGAGGAGGAAGTGGTGGTGGAAGTGGGAGCGCTAGCGGAGGGCGGAGACGGCCTCCGGTTAATGTTCCGTCCACGCCCAAGCCTTCACCGCCGATCGTTGGAGGATCTCCACCGCCTCCGAAGTCTAGGTCGTCGCCTTCGTCCAGATCGCGCTCCCCTCCGCCTCCGACGGGTTCTTTCCATTCACCTCCGTCTTCTAGGGTCTCCCCTGTGACTCATCTCCCACCGCCGCCCCCTCCTCCCACGCAACAGACAGCACCGCCTCCTACGGAAAAGGTTTCGCCAGGGACACGTCATGCGCCTCCGCCGCCATCTCCTCCTCCTCCGTCACCACCACCGCCAGTGTACTCTCCACCCCCACCGCCGCCTTCCCCACCACCCCCTCCCCCGCCAGTCTACTCTCCACCACCGCCACCGCCTTCCCCACCACCACCAGTGTACTCTCCCCCACCGCCGCCGCCATCACCACCTCCCCCACCTCCACCGGTCTACTCTCCACCACCGCCGCCGCCTTCCCCACCTCCCCCACCACCGCCAGTTTACTCTCCACCACCGCCGCCACCCTCTCCACCCCCTCCTCCGCCGCCAGTGTACTCTTCCCCACCACCGCCACCAGTTTACTCCTCACCACCACCACCGCCGCCGGTCGAGTACCACTCGCCTCCTTACTACCAATATTCGTCTCCACCACCGCCACCTCAATCCCCGCCGCCCCCGCCGCCTACTTACCAGCAATCACCTCCACCGCCAACGGGTGAGCATCACGCTCCCCCACCGCCAAAGCACGCTCCAGCGCCAGTTCCATGCACAACTCCACCGCCACCGCCTCCTCCACCATCGAAGCCCGGATGTGAGCTCCCGCCGCCAGCACCAACAATGTCGCCGCCGCCTACTCCCAGCTACCACTCGCCGCAATCCCCTCCGCCGCCGCCTCCACATCACCAAAGTCCTCCTCCGCCCCATTACACGTATTCGTCGCCTCCCCCTCCTCGCCACTCACCGCCGCCGCCGTCTCCGCCACCTCCTGAAAGCGTGCCTCTGCCACCGGTGATAGGGGTATCGTACGCTTCGCCGCCGCCTCCATCGATTCCGTACTACTAAGTTACTGGAGACGGGAATCGTCGTCCTCGGGGACATTGGAAGGCATTTGTATTACTGAGCTGATAAAAACCTGAGATTTGTCTTTTTTTTTTTTCCTTCTTCTTTTCTCTTTGATTTGTTATTTTGTGTTGTGGAAAATACTACAATTTAATTCTTTTTTTCTTTTTTCCCAACTCTTATTATTGTTAATTATGATTGTTGATGATTTAAATTTGGCTCACCAAATTTTAATCCAAGAGCTTCGGTTTGTTCAATGTTCATGAATCGATTTGGATTGGGTTTATGGTGTAGCAATTGCAATAACAGCTGATTATGTACAATACCAACATGACTGAGCAGTAAATGGTTTTTCGGATCGATTAGTGAAAGCTGGGAGTGTCGCTGTCGTATTTTCGCCGAGTTGGGGACGCGGCGGAGGTTTGTTTGTCGGAGATTTTGTTGATTTCCTGCTTGGCAGCTTGCTCTTTTTCCCTTTGCGTGTCATTTCATTACAACTCCCCCACCACTCATCATTATTTAGCAAGACACTACCGCATCCATCCAAATTGCGATGCATGATTATTGATGCATCTATCTGGTCCGGCGTTCTTTTTTTAGTCGGAACCCGAAAAATCGATAAGCAAAACTGAATCCGAAACCAAAAAACCCGAAACGAACCGGAAAAACCGAAAATGTATATAATTGAGTCGATTTCGGGTAAACCCGAAAAACCGAACTCGAATGGACACCCCTACTAGCGTCCTTGAAATCACGAGCCCTACATTGGTCGATAATGAGCTAAGCATTTGGGCCAATTAACATTTGGCCCATAGATTGAGTTAAAGCCCAAAGGCTCATTAGTCTCATACATACAAGTCCAAGAAATATAGCCCACTTGACCCGATAGGGAAAATAGATCAAAACTCTTTCCCAGACGAAACCACGGCGTTTCTACGATCCTATTATTTCGTTCTTTTCAACCCTAGCCGCCTCCGCCATCTGCCGCCGGCGGTGCTTCTGTCACTTGCCAGTCAATTCACCTGCTGTGGGATCAATGAAGCTGTTCGACGACGATGACGCCACCGTCGAAGACATCTCCAAAATTGAGATCGACAAGGAGTACGCCCGGCGGTACGAGCACAACAAGAAGCGGGAGGATCTCCAGCGATACGAAGAGTTGAAAAAGAGTGGCCGAATTGACGACGACGATTCAGAGTCGGACTCCGAGTCGTCGGACGACGAGGCTGATGATATAGCTGGCGCCAACAAGAAGAAGGACATTAAGTTCTTCGAGAATCTGCTCAAGGTAAGGAAGCAGGACCCTTCTCTTTACCAGAATGTTCCAATCTTTAGTGATAGTGAAGAAGAAGGAGACGATGATGAGAAGGGGCAGGATGAGGATGATAAAGTTGATGAGAAGAAGAGTGAGGGGAGCAACAAGAAGAGGAAGTCAATGTACTTGAAGGATGTTGTGGCCAAGAACTTGATTGAGGAAGGCCCTGAATTCGACGACACGGAGGCTAGGCAGGGGAAGAGAGGGAAGACCTACAATGAAGAACAAGAGGAATTGAGGAAGCAGTTTCTTGATGCTGTGCAGGACCTCGAGGGTGGGGATGACGGGGTAGGGGAAGGAGAATTCTTGAAAGTGAAGGATAAGGGAAATGGAGGGGATGGTGAGGAAGATGAGGTGTTTGAGGCTAAATTGGGTGAGTACTTTGGCCCTCAGGAAGAGTTGGACGAGAACAAGATGTTCTTGATGGAGTTCTTCAAGAACAAGATGTGGGCTGACAAGGGTAATGACGATAGGGGTGAAGGTTTTGAGCTTGGGGACATCGATGAGATGGATGAGGAGGAGGTAGAGAGGCAAGAACAGTTTGAAGAGAGGTTTAATTTTAGACACGAAGAGAACAAAGGGGATAGGGTGATGGGTCACTCTAGGTTTGTAGAAGGCGCCATTAGGAAAGAGGAGAATCCGAGGAAAGGACAAAGGAAGAGGAAGGAGGAGAGGATGAAGGAGGCAGAGATTCGGCGAAAGGAGGAGTTAAAGCACTTGAAGAATTTGAAGAAGAAGGAAATGGAGGAGAGGCTCCAAAAGGTTATGGAGGCTGCAGGTATTAAAAGTGACAATGGTGCATTGGATTTGGATGAGTTGGAGGATGATTTTGATCCTCAGAAGTATGATACGATGATGAAGAAGGCGTTTGATGATGGATATTACGAAGCTGAAGATGCTGATCCTGGGTTTTGCAGTGGAGGCGACGATGATGGTGATATCGACAAACCGGATTTTGATAAGGAGGATGAGTTACTTGGACTTCCTAAAGGTTGGGATACATCTGATAATGAGGGCCACTTTGCATCTGTTCGGGAAAGGATTTTGAAAGAAAAGGGCGAGAGTGTCGACGATGATGACGATGAACAGGAAGAAGGGAAAGAGGAAGGTAAAAAGGATGAATGGGAGGATGAAGGTACGAGGAAGAAGCAAAAACGTAAGCTGTCATTGCTGCAGAAAACGAAGCAGGAATTGTTGGACGAGTACTACAAATTGGATTATGAGGGGACAATTGGAGACCTAAAGACGAGGTTTAAATATGCTAAAGTGAATCCTAACAAATATGGATTGAAGACGGAGGATATATTGTTGTTGGAGGACCAAGATTTGAACCAGTACGTGTCCGTGAAAAAGCTTGCTCCTTACAGAGAGAGCGAGTGGAAGGTTCCCAGCAATCAGAAGAACCAGTATAAGATGAAGGTTAAGGAGCTGAAGAATAATCTTAACATCCGGAAGGCCAGTAAGAAGAACAATGACCCAAAGGTCGATAGTAATAACAGTGAAGAATCAACTTCAGCTGGCCTATCCAGGAAAGCAAAGAGGAGGCAGAACCAAGCACATCTCAAATTGTCGCATGGTAGGCTCTTAGCATATGGGAAGCTTCAGCCTAGTGCTAAAGGCAAGAAGAAAGTGTGATTGTACACGATTAACTTGCCAGGTATGTGAAGTAGGTGCATTTCTTGTACCGTCCTTTTCGTTCTTGTCTGTTTTTTCTTCAACAGATGAATAGCGGCTGGCTTGTTTCGTGCATTAATTTATCTGTTGATGTTAATTGCTGCTTGCTTGTACCCTTCTCAATGTCCTGCTTCGTGTTCCTGTCGTTATCTGATAACTAGACTCTGCTTAAGTTGTAGATCACATATTCACATAGAACATCTTATTCTTATGATTCTAACCAAAGTCTGCTTTTGTGCCAGAAGCTTGATTTCAACCTTGTGTATGGCGGATCGCCTAGCTGAATTCTGAAAGATGGTGTACGATTTCTGAGTAATGAATGGACGAAACAAGAGTTGATATTGTTGTTTAAACGTTTTGAGCTAGGTTGAGTTGAACTTGACAAATACAGACTGTTCCATTTCTGGGGGGTTCAAGTCTCTATTTTGGTAGACCCAGCATTTTTAGTTCCTTCTGTTGGATTGTGATATGCAGAAAGCAGAATACAATGCCTCTTTACTGCTGTCAAATTGTTTCGTCAAGATTTCATTTCTCTATATCAGAATAGTTTCCGTGGGGAAGCATTCCTGGGTTCTTTTATACGTTCATGTATTTCCACATAATTCAACGACTATCTATTCGAAAGTGGGTTTCTTGTTGGGAGAGGTAAACATGAATTTTTATCATTTTCTCTCGGATGAAAACCAATTCATTGGCCTGAGGTTTGTACATACATGTCATACCATGTTATTATATTAATTGTTAATATTCGGGTTGTGAGAAGTTGAATACGTAACATCACGATCAAATAAGTTCTAATATGATTCCAAGAACTAGTTGATACAATAAAATAACTCGAGTTATTGAACATCAAATCTTGAGTTGTAATAATCTACGTTGGAGTTGTAATCCTATACTACAAAAAGAATGACTATCACTAGAAAAACTACATGCACAACTAGGATTGTTAGTTGATTCATTTCGTTTATACCCATAACCTTTTATTTGATTATTGGTTGACTGATAAGCGATTTTTGCTTACGGTTAACTGCACAGTTTATATTAGTCGGTTAAATATAATTATGTAGTCGGTTAACCGACTAACTGTTTAGTTAGTGATTCGACAAGGTCAAACTAAGATCTTCGATCAGTAACCTAATCAACATAAAGCCTCTTTTTTTCAATTTTGCATTTTTGTTTATATATGTACTGTATGTGTTTGTTTAATATTATTTTTATCATTGATTTGAGTTTGGTTTGTTCCTATTGTGATTGTGAGAATAAAGCATGGGAAGGAGAAAAATGATGAGTGTGAACTGAGCGAGAGAAGTCATTGATGGATAAATTGTGTAACATCCCTACCCTCGTACTAATTATTACGTTATAATTACGTGGTTGTGATTGGGTTACAAAAATTGGTCTTTTGAACCGAAAAGTAAGTGAATAGTTGAGTTTTGGACTTAACTGTGAGGAAAGGAAAGTTGGGGAACCTAAGTGTAAGATATGGATGGTTGGAGGATTGAAGGGGGATTTTGGGGAGATAAAAATCTGCCCCATCCCTCTTATCTCATTTTATTCTCATCTCTTCCCCTCACTCTCTCCCACGTCTCTCTCTCTCTCCCTTGCTCTCTTTCTTCCACCTGGTTTCACCACCCCAAAAACCACCATCCCTTTTCAGAAACAAGTAGTAGATAGATAGAGAGAAAAAGATATCAAGGAAAGAAATAAGAGGGGAAACAAGGGGTGCTGCCAATTTTCGTCCAGCAGTAGGACAGCTTGTGGGAAGGACGATTATGGACACTTGAGCCGTTGGATCGTTCTGATATTTGGAGGTTTTGTTCCATATGTCCTTGTATACGATTGGACCATTCGGATCATTGTTATGATCTCTGGTTCATCTAGGAACGTCGCTGGACAGAAGGGGTGCGACATTGTTTTCCTGTAGCATGGCAGCAGATTAGAGGTAAGATCTTGTACGAAGTAGCCGTGGATCTTTCTAGAAATTTGGTATAATGTTAAGTATATAAGTTTCTTTGAGTTGACCTTCGGATCTTAGTTTTGAGTTCGAAGTGGTCAGGAACAATTGTTAGAAGTAGCGGAGTTGGATTGAAGTGAGAAGAAAGTAGCTGACAGTTTCGAAACGTCAATTTAAAATGATTTCTGGGCTCAAAATACTGCTCCAAATGGTCTGAAATTTGGATATGTTGTAGCCCTATGAATATAGTTTCAGTAGCAACAAGAATCAACTGATTTGGTTAAGTATCAAGGGAGAAATGACCGAAATGATGAAGCAGGGTAAAGAGTGCGGTCGTATGACTTCCCTAGTGGCCTTATCGACATGCATGAGCACAACCATGATTTTGATGACTGTATACGTATCTTGGTGCTTGAATAACCTGGAAAATTTGTATATAAAGGTAAGGAGCAAGGCGGGGGCTCATCCAAAGGCAAGGGTATAGCCGAGTGAAGATAAAACAGTGAGTAGATTCTATTCTTAGATCAACTTCAACATAATCACAGTATTCGGGTCATGAAGCGGCCCGAATACATATCGGAGTCATGAGGAGGATCCGGTATAATATGGGAATTTAGGGGAAATGATATGGCAATGTGATATGGCGTATGGGTGTTTATTCCTATGGCTATTGTGATATGGCTTATTTGTGTTTATTCATTATATGCATTTGGTATGAAGTTGGAAATGCATGAATTGTGAATGGGATATGGAAAGACATTTTGTTGATTTATTGTGTGGATTATGAGTAAGTATTCGAACTTGTGAACCCGTCTTGTCTGTTTAGATTTGGAGTAAGCCATTAGGCTTACTAATCTTGTTTTGCTTGAATAACTCGGAGTCAGCTTCTCAACTTACATTCCATTCTGTGGTGACTGAGGGTGCAAAAGCACTATGACTGCTTTTGAGCCTATAGTGTCTAAGTGAACTATTAATGAAAAGAGGTGAATACATAAGAATAAGTAAAAAGGCTTTATGATACCTCGGTACAGTAGTGTGTCCTGTTTGTATCGATGTGGGTAAACCCCACGATACTCCTGTGTGAGCGCTCGTGCTCCGCACCGTGCCGTTTGGGTGACGACCCACGGTACTCCTGTTCTGTTCAGTTAGCCGGGCTGGGGTAATCCCGTGGCGACTCCTGTTTTTTTTGTATCGGTCCGGGTTGTGTCCCGCGATACTCCTGTTGGTGCGAGCACTCCTGTTCCGTGCCTTGTGCACTCCTGTTTATACCGGACTGGGTTTTGTCCCGCGGTACTCCAGTTATCTGATGGCTGTGCATGGTTATCCTGCAGCCTTCCACTACTGTACTACCCGAGGAGTATATCATTTAGCAAGTCTGAAAGTGAAATTGTATAAGCAAAATGCCTCTATCTGTCATCTGTTTATGTATTTTGACTGTGGAATGTGAGCATGTGAACTGGATTGATTCAGTAAAATGACAAGTGGGATAAACAGCTTAAGTCCTGTTATGTGCTAGGGTGTTTCTGCCCGATACTGTTTTTGTATTGATGTCGATCTGAGCTTAGAATTTATTCACTGAGCGACGACTCATCCTTCGTCATCATTTTTTCTCAGATCAAGATCAGAAGTAAGGTCTCTACTGTAGATATCGGGACTCAAGCTTGAAGGGAAGCCATGAGGTGGGCGGAGGACTCCGAACTCCTTGAATGTTTTATGTTGTGTGGATTTTGTAATAAAGCAGACTTCCCCGGTTTTCTGTTTCAACTCTATTGAAAATGTAAATTATAGTTTGAAGTTTGAAAAAAAATACATATATAAAGCTCGGGCCCGAGAATGTTTAAACTCGATGTATTTTACTGTTTTGTTTTGTAATATAAAGTAAGGGTGTTACAAATTGGGGCGTGGTCTTTGCTATCTTTCCTCCGACATAAGTCATCTGATCTTCCCAAACCAATCTTAATGCTTACATTTTAATCGCAAAATCGATGGTTCTTCTTGCCTCTTTCAAAGTTAGGAATCACATTGGGAGGAAATTGAGGAAAGAAGGAGATTCTTTATTCGAAGTTTGAGAGTCTTTTCGGAGGGACATGACCGTTTTCGAGAAGAGAAATATGGATAATTCTATTTGGTTAGTTGTCGACTAATTGTTAACCGGTTATTCGATTATCATGTCCACAGAAAACTATTTCAGCTTATTGATAACCACACCGCTAACTTATAATCTATTCACGCTGTGATCGTTATTTGTCAGTTATTGATTAGTTATCCGTGTTACTTCTAATAAATTAACCGAATACCACACTATGTACAACTACAATTTGTATTTGTACCCACAACTCACAAGGCCATAACTCATAATTGGTATGACAATTCAAATTTTGGTACCACAAATTTAGGGGTTGTTTGCTTGATGGATTTGGTGATTGATTTGATGATGTATTTAGTTCTATCATGAGGGCTCGTTTGCTTGTTGAATTTGAAAATGAAGGCCTTGAGGTTTGAAAACTTTTGGAGTTATGATGGATTTGTTGCATTTTGTATTTGAAATATAACATTGTTTGTTTAGTTGAATTTTTATCACGAATTTAGTTCATTTGGTATTTGGTTGTCAAAAATTTGCCTTCCATAATGTGGTATTTGCAAATAACAAATGAAAATGTGGTATTTACAAATACGTGGGGTCCACGAACTTGGAGCTAAAAAAATTGTTCAAATCTGTGGGTCCCACAGATTTGCCTACCTTAACAAACAATGGGGTTGGACAAAAAACATGATGGTTTGTATTTGGAGACCAAATATAACATCCAAATCCCATTAGCAAACAACACCTGAATTTTATTCAAACTCCATTGTTTGCTTATGTATTTTGTGGTTACAAATCTGTGGGCCACATGGACTTTAATGGTCCAAATTCGTGGGTACCACAGACTTGAAAATTCCACTTCTTTAGGTGGGACGTTATCATGGACTTTAAAGTTCATCATTCATGACCAAACTACCCCTCCTATTATCTTTCTCATCTCATACCAATGAGAACAATATATGTCATTTTCACTCCATGCACACATAATCTAATTAACCAAATCCATCATAAAATCAATGAAACAAACAATAATATACAAGTCCACAATGAACCCAAAACCCTCGTACATCCAAGATTTTACAAAATCCAATTTTTTTCAAAACTTTCATTTTTCAAATCAACGAAACAAACTATCGATAAATTCAACAATGAACTTGCCAAAAGCGGAAGTCGTCCCCCCATACATTGCCACAGATGCAACAACTTTGACTTTAGGGTTTGAAGCCGCACCCGCGCCATTTCCAATTCCTCTCTCTCTCTCTCTGTCTGAACTCTTATCTACTCTCTCTCTCTACCTATGCATGAACGGGATCCGATTCTGGACCGTCGCAGCTGAATCGAGTCTCAGTCTTATCCGTCTTCTGCAATGGCGTCGAAGCCGTCCCCGTCGCCTTCCGCCAGCAGATCCGGGTCTCTCCAGGACACTCCGGTAAGCACCTTCAACGCCTCCTCACTCTGTATAGATATATCTTCTTTTAGCTTCTGGAACATAGGTGAAGCTTTTGGGGCCCCCGATCGGGGTCCTTCCCTGTTTGTTTTCCTTGGTGGACCGAGCTTCAGCTGTGGTGAATTGTGGGAGACTGGGAGTGGATAAGCGTCTTATAGATCAATGTAGGTTGATTTAGAGGGAGATAGCCGTCTGCATTTGTTGATAGTGGCCGATTTAACGAGCTTTCTGTGATTCTCGGTGGATTTCTGGCGAATTCCTTTCTGTATGTGGGGCGATGTGAGCAATGCGCTTGACTGCAGCTGGAAACTTCCTATTAATGTCGATAGAGATTTGCTTGCCGAGGCTTGCTACCACGAAAACTTGATGCGTTTGTCTAGTCTGGGTTCTCGAGCATGATGTGAGAAAGAACAGCAGCTTCATGTGACTATTCTTTTTGGTTCTCTGCAGATGGCAAAGCCAGACGAGTCAGCTCCTGAGAGCGAGGAGATTGCATCAGTTATTGAATCTCTGAAAAGACACGTTGTAGATGAACGGTGTGTTTCTATAAAGGTGCATTGGTGTTACGACGTTATGATTTTTCAGTTTGTGGTGTCTGCTGGGTTTAGATTTATGTATTCGTTTCTTTAACTAGGTGGTATCTGGTTTTCGCAGGAAAGGATGGAAAAGAACAGACACAAATTGGCTAGTGTCACGAGCCATCTGCAGAAGCTGTCGAAGGAAAGACGAAACAGCTGGATTAACCTTGCCGATTCTAGCCACGATCTACTGAAGAAGAGGCAAGATGATGCGATTGGTATGCATAGCGGCATTGGCACTAGTAGTGGTGATAAAGACAGCGACAGTCATCAAGAAGACTCTCATGCTTCTACGGCTGTTCTTCTGGGAACCAGTATTCCTCCGGGGAAGAATTCCGTTCGGCCAATTAGGCTGCCTGAAGTTAGGAAATTACCTCCTTACACCACCTGGATTTTTTTGGACAGGTGACTCAAATTATCATGCAGCTTCATCACTTCATTCTCTTGATACGTTATTTGCCAACATGTTTCCTGACTGACCTGTTTTTTTCTGTATCTATATTGGTTAGTGTTTACTTTTTTTTCTGCTTTCCTACTGCTGACATTGTTTGTACCAATGTTAAGATATTGGTTTTCAATTATCTTCGCTTGCTTTACTAAGAAACTGCAAATTCAAGAACTTTAGGATTGCCTTATGCTTATTAGATCCGTATGCTTTTTGGCATCCCTCTAATCTATTGACCTTTTTATTGGGATACTGTGGAACTCACAAAGAAGCCAGAGAGGGAGATGTTTTTAGACCTGGGTTTCACAGGCTGATGATTTCTTCAGAACTCAAGCCATTGGTTCATTTAGATGGCTGATCGATGTTTCTATACTTGGTACAGAAATCAGAGGATGACAGAAGATCAATCAGTGGTGGGTCGGCGAAGGATTTATTATGCTCAGAATGGCGGGGAGGCACTTATTTGTAGTGATAGTGAGGAAGAAAATGTTGACGAAGAAGAGGAAAAGAAATATTTTTTGGAATCAGAAGATTATATTATACGGTTAGTAGATCTCAAAAGTACACGGGAAAATCTCTGATGACCATTTGTTGCTTTCTTAGTTCTTACCTTCCTTTCTGTGTGAAGTCCCTTGCTGTTGTTTCTCATTTTTCTTTGTAACATATCGTAGAGAATTTATGTATGAACCGCTGTTGTCATTGTGTTGATCGACTCATAATTCCTTGCTTTATGCCTTCCCCATTTTAATAAAATAGTATGCTAAATAATGGCCTGAATATATTTATGTCGTGACATTATGCATATGCAAGAACCAACTGTTAACTTCTTACATTATTTCATCAGCATGACAATCAAAGAAGCTGGATTCTCAGATGCCGTTATAAATTCCTTGGCGGAATGTTTCTCTAAAAATACAGATGAAATCAAGGTATGCTGTTAGCCAGATTCTGGGTGTTCATGTGCTTTCATGAATCCTTTTGTTTTTGTCTCCTTATCTTTGTGAAGAAGTAATTATTTTCTCAATTGTCTAATTTCGATACACTGTTAGCATCGATGAATACCAGTCATACACTAAGCTCTTGTGAGACTGTTTCCATTTCCTTTACCCGCTTTATAACCTGATATCAAACACATACAGGCAAGATATGAAAGTCTAACCAAGGATGAGAAGACTTCAGTGGATTCCCTTCATGTGGACAGTGAAGCTTCGTCGTTGAATTCTTTTCTTGATAAGGATCTTGAAGCTGCTTTGGATTCGTTTGACAACTTATTTTGTCGTCGCTGTCTTGTATGTCTTGTTCTTATAACCCTTACCTATTTGTTATCTTTCCTTGTTTTTCATGTCACTTATCATGGAGTTCTTCTTTCATTTTCCAGGTCTTTGATTGCAGATTGCATGGATGCTCACAAGATCTTGTCTTTCCAGTAAGTTGATAATGTAAGAAATGAACATCACAGTGTTGCTTGGAAGTCCAGTGGGCACCTTACTTGTTTTGTTGATGCTGCGCATTGTTAGGCTGAGAAACGACCACCACTGAACCATCCAGACGTTGAAAATCTACCATGTGGTGAACACTGCTACCGATCGGTACGTAACTTGATGAATCTTTGCAAATTAAATATGCTGGGGGGATTCCATAACGGACAGTACATACTAAACAACTCTAAGTATCTTCAAATGCATAATATCAGGTGTCAAAGTCCGAAAAAATGCCTACTGAGGATTCCCCTGAGCTTGGTGATACAAAAGACAACTCTGTCCAGCCATCATCTGGTAGTGCTGGGACTCGCACGACCGCAAGGAAAAAACATACTCCATGTGCTCGAAAGAAGGCCAGGCCCTCCCAAAGTGAAAGTGCCTCGTCAAATATCAAAAACATGTCAGATAGTAGTGACTCAGAGATTGGACCCCAGCACACTACTTCCACGAGCCATTTGCCACCCTCCAAGACAAAACTTTGTGGAAAGGGTGGGGTTTCTCAAAGGAATAGCAAACGAGTGGCTGAACGTGTTTTGAGTTGCATTAAAAAAAGGCAGAAGCTGATAGGATCTGAGTCAGATTCTGTTGCTAGTGGAGGTCTTTTGGGAGGTGATGCAAAACTTAGCAGTAGTCCACACAGAGAAAATGAAGATGCCAATTCTTCTTCCCAGAAAAATTCAAAATCAAGGTCTAGGAAAACAGAGCTCTCTGTTCAGAATGTGCAAGGTGTAGCTCGTGATGGTATATCAAGTGCGATGGTCGCCAATCCACCTGGAAGTAGCAGTGATGTTACCTTGAGAAAAGATGATTATGCTGATGGAAACAGTCGTAAAATGGAATTGAATGATAACCTGTCTTGGAAAGCTTTTGAGAAAAGTCTTTTTGAGAAAGGCATGGAGATCTTTGGCAAAAATAGGTATGTGATGGTTATTTAGCTTTACTTCCACAAAATTTTTTCTACCGATGTGTCTTCCCTTTTGTTTAAAGGAAATCAAGTATCTGTGTGAATTTTCATTGCATGATGGTTAGGGTTCATGACGTGCTTAATGTAACTGGTTTTGTTCTTGGTGGCAGCTGTCTAATTGCTCGGAACCTGTTAAATGGTTTGAAGACATGTGTGGAAGTTTTTCAATTCATGAGACAAGCAGATAAACGGCTAGCCTACCAAGCAGGTGATGCTGCAAATTGTCTTGGTGACGGCTATTCCAAGTTTGACCAAGGCAATAATGAAGTTAGGAGAAGATCAAGGTTTTTGCGCAGAAGGGGTAGAGTTCGTCGCTTGAAGTATTCTTGGAAGTCTACAGCCTACCATTCTATTAGGAAACGGATAAGTGAGAGAAAAGATCAACCATGCCGCCAATACAATCCTTGTAACTGCCAAACAGCTTGTGGAAAGGAGTGCCCATGCCATTTGAACGGCACATGCTGTGAGAAGTATTGTGGGTGAGACTTTTTCCTAATCTCTAAGTCATATATGATATATCTTTGAGGAGTGCCCATGCAAGGTGAAAACATTTTAAATTATATTTCACTATAAAATACGTTCAAAGGCAAGGTAATTTGGTGTTTTTCGTTAGGTTGGCGTTGTATCCATACCAATGAGCAAGATGCATGGTCATAGTATTTATGAAGCCTAAATGAACTCAAAACTAACAATTACTCTTTTCCTTTTGTTCATTTCTCAAAACTACCTATTTTTCTAGATGTCCTAAAACTTGCAAAAATCGTTTCCGGGGCTGTCATTGTGCCAAGAGTCAATGTCGAAGCCGTCAATGCCCTTGCTTTGCTGCAGACAGGGAATGTGATCCAGATGTTTGTCGGAATTGTTGGGTTAGGTGAGTTGTTATTCTTTAGTCTTCAATGATTATTTTTCATATTGTAATGTGTCTATTTTTCTCAACATTGTGACATATCGTACCATCACCCTACAAAAAGTAGTTTGCACCTCTTTTTTCCTAGAATATATAATGATCCTCTCTTCTATTCTTTTATTGTGTCTTCCTCCCTTTGGCTATTTGAAATTTGATTGCAGTTGTGGCGATGGCTCACTTGGTGTGCCTAATCAAAGGGGCGACAATTATGAATGCAGGAACATGAAGCTTCTTCTCAAACAACAGCAAAGGGTATCCATATTTTCCTCTATGCTTTTCCTAGTTAATAGCTTTTATTATATATAAACAGGTGGACATCTTTTGAAATCTTCCATACTATCTAAAGTTTGCCTTAGATCAATCCAATAATCATAATTCCAAAGTATTTATTAGTTTTACTATTCTGAAGGAGTGAACCCACAATAGTAGCTAGACGGTTTGTTTTTGTTACTGTTTATTCTTTCTGAAGTTGTCTTTGCAACTGAATGTTTCTTTGTTAAGAAACTCTCTTACTCGATGCTGTTTATGTTCAGGTTTTACTTGGAAAATCTGATGTATCTGGATGGGGAGCTTTTCTGAAGGTACTATTGGTTATTTCATCGTTCTGATCAAGTCGTTGATTCCTTGTTACTGATGTTTAAAAGTTATTGCTGGCCTCCAGAAAAGCGTGGGTAAACATGAGTACCTAGGTGAATACACGGGAGAGCTGATATCACATAGGGAAGCAGACAAGCGTGGCAAGATTTACGACCGTGAAAACTCGTCATTCCTCTTCAATTTGAATGATCAGGCAGGATGGATTCTACTTTTTTACCCAACTTTAGGATGCATGGAGGACAATGCCTCTTCCTTTCCTCTTCAATTACGTAACTCCATGCTTTTGTTGATATGCAGTTTGTCCTTGATGCTTACCGGAAGGGTGACAAGTTGAAGTTTGCCAACCATTCTCCTGATCCAAACTGCTATGCAAAGGTTCCCAGAAAACCCACTTATCAATTCAAATCTTGTCAAGTAATGCTGCTTCATTGATCGGCACCACTTTTTCTTTATTTTGGTTCCAATTCGGAGCATTTTGGGATGGTGCAGGTGATTATGGTTGCAGGAGACCACCGAGTTGGCATATTTGCCAAAGAAAGAATCAACTCCGGGGAGGAGCTTTTCTACGATTACCGCTATGAACCAGATCGAGCTCCTGCTTGGGCAAGGAAGCCCGAAGCATCAGGATCGAAAAAGGAAGAGGCCTCGCATCCAGGTGGCCGTGCCAAAAAGCTGGCCTGAAAAAAGAAATCTCAGACTCACAATTTCGTTCATTCTTTTTACAGCTCTGAAGGCGTAGGGTTCTAACCATTTGTGGGATTCAGGCCATTGCTGTCTCTCTCTTGCCAGCTTAACTGACTGCTGCATCATTTTGTGTATTTCGTGTTCTCCTGCGTCGGCATTTACGCCCAGGTCGAGCCATTGCATCCAACACAGCAGAAAAAAGCGTAGAGAAATGATCAAATGAAGAATGAGGTTAGTTAATTGATGCCATTGCCACCACCGATCTAACTTGCACAGATTTTCTCATGTAAAAGGAAAGCATTTTGGTGCGGGAGGAGGGCCTGGCTACTTTCTCATCTAACATTCTTTTCAGTGCCTTTTCTCTCGTCACTTTCGTTTCAGACGCTTTACGAAATGCAATCTTTTGCAGCTTTTAGTATCTTCGCCTTCTTTTGCATCCCATAATTGTCTGCCCGTTCTTTCTTTTTTAAGCTTATCGTATGTCAGAATTTTCTTTTGTGGGAGCTGCAAATTTTGTTAGAAGGCATAATGGTGTGTGTCTGCATGTTGAACTATCCAATATTACCAATCACATTGTGAATCTGAATCTTCCTTCGTAGGTTGAATTTTTGGGGTCGTTTGCTTGTGGATTTTGGTCGTGGATTTGGTCATGGAAATATATCCATCATGGACTTGAACCGAAATCCATCATTTGCTTTAGGGAATTAGGAAGATGGAATTTATGGGGGCCAAATCTGTGGACCCCACGGATTCGGAAGTTCCACCTCTCGAGGTGGGATTTGGGTGGGATTTAGGTGATGGATTAAAATCCATGATGGTAAATTACCTTTCTACCTGTAATTATTTCTTTAATTACAAATTTGTCTTACTTTAATTCAATGGTCATGCAACAATAAACTTTTATAATTTCGTATTTTATAAATATGAGAATTTATCATTTCATTATGTAATATTGTATTTTATTTAAATATGAATGTATATGTGATTTGTTAGATTCACCTAGAAACTTTTTATGCTCATCTTGTGCATTATTATTTGATTGACTGTTGGATTCCACATCGGTGAGTTAGCAAGAAGATGATGATGATTTGTAATGAATTTAACCGAACCCTTCCCCATTATCAATTTTTTTCTTCTAGGGTTTAAGGTATCCTTGCTGTTTTTCACTAAATCCATATCTGAAACCGGCACATAATTTGAAAAGGGTTCAAACGTGAAATGGACTTTTAGTGGCAGCCGCAATATTGACTCTTGCTACGAGTTACGAGCCTAAGGACGCCGGCGAAGTCAACTGGTAGGTGAAGTCGAGCCGTAGATGTCCTTTGTGATATGGCTGATTAGAGTGGGCGGCGCCGGCGGGCCGGGGAATACGGCGGAAATCCGGTCGCCAACTTCTGCCCGTTGCAACTGCCGCCGTCATACATCATGCGTGGCAGCAAAATTCGAGCAGATTGAATCTGTGATGGCGAATTTTTGGGATCGGGAAGAAGAGTGTAGAAAAGGTGCCGCTCGTTTTTCAGATGTAATAAATAAGTTACACGAGGGTAGGCGTAAAGAGGCTAAGTTCTCATTCCGTTAAGTCGTAGTTGTCAAGGTGGTTTTGTCGAGCTAGTTGAAGATCCTGATAACAAAGGCTCGGTGATTAGGGCGACAAGATAGAATAGTCTATCAAATAAGAGGCGAAGAGATGCGAGAAGACTTCGGTCGCAAGTTCAAAATAAGTTGACTCAATACCAATTCAAATTGGACCCAACCCAAGACCATCGAGGTAACACCAATTAGTGTTACCTCGATGATAATCTTGCATAACTATATTCGATCTTGATGGTTGAGATTAAATTTTTTTTGTGTGCATATTGTGGTCTACAAAATTATATATATTTTAGATATATTCAGTGCAAAAAGTAATTTCGAATAAGTTATATAATTATTTACCACCATTCTAAGCGGGTAGTAGAGTTGGTTGGCTAACTAAATTGTCGAGTTAGCTTGACCATGAGCTCAAAATGAGCAACTCGCGATTCAGCTCAACTAGTCTCCAAATCAAAGCAGCTCGCGAAGCTTAGCTCAAAATCACTTCATTACTAGACGAGCTGGATTTCGAACAAAATTTATTCGAATTGAATATCGAACCACTCGAAAACATGAACAGCTCGGCTCATTTGCAATCATTGTACAAAACTAACAAATTATTAGGAAATATAATTTGATCAGCAAATGCCGTTTAGAGGAGGAGCATCATCAAATAATAGAAAGTTAGGAAGTTCAGATTAATTAGGCTTTGGAACCAAAAATGGATTAAACTAAAGCAAAGCTACTGTGCGCTCAAACCCCCGCCTTTACTCTCCCAAAAAATGACGTCCCCACTTCAACTCAACTCTCTCGGCCGTCTATCTACCTCCCTCTCGCTTTCTGCTCTCTTCCTTCCTTCCTTCCTTCATCCCACTTCTCGAGCTCTCCATTTCTCTGCATCGGCACTCCAAAATGTCTGCGTGTTTCCTGCACCGCCCGCTCCGATGCAGACCCAGACCGCAGCTTTCAGCTGGGTACCTCATCTTTTCTCTGCTCATCTCCTCGGTGCTAATTGCTCGCCCAGCGGTAAACCCTTCTCCCCCCCTTCAATTTCCCGCACTTTTTCCCCTTCACGATCCGTCGAATTTCACTTCCCCTTCTGCCGGCATTGCCCTGAATTCTTTTTCGAACAGGTTTTGGACCCATGTTCTCCTTCCGCCAGCTGTGGGCAAGGGCTTTATTGTGGCAACTGCCCTGCTTTGGGCAAGAATCAGCCCGTCTGCACCAGAGGCCAAGCTACCGTGCCCACATCCATCGTAATGTTTTTGCTTTTTTCGCGGTATCTGTTCCTCGTTTTCGCTTTGATGGGTTCCTCGTATTTGTGTGAGCTGAAGCTGTGGGGGGATCTTCCTTCATTTGGGTGCAGATTGGCGGATTACCCTTTAACAAGTATACGTGGTTAGTCACTCATAATTCTTTCAGCATCGTCGATTCGCCGCCTTTGCCTGGAGTTCAGAGGTTGACGTTTTACAATCAGGAGGATTCTGTTACTAATCAGCTCTTGGTATGCAATTCTTGTTCTTTACTATTTTTCCTTGTTTGTTTCAAGTTTTCTCTTGCTTCCCGTTTGTTTCTCAGGAAAGTAGACTTTGTTCCCCATTTTGTGTCTTAAGTAATTCTTGGGTTGGAGTGGAGTCTGAGTTTTTATGGATTTTCTATTCCTTTCTTGCACTTAATTAATTATTGCCATTTGGGCAAGTTTCGTAGGAATCCGGTTCTTTTAGTTGTCTATTTTGTTATGGAATAGAGATTTGAACTAGTATTTTGTCTTAAGTGGTGTGCGTTTTCCCCCCTGGTTTGTTTTGGCTAGAATGGTGTAAGGGGACTGATGCTGGACATGTACGAGTTCAATGGCGATATCTGGCTTTGTCATTCATTCCGAGGGCAATGTTACAACTTCACAGCCTTCGTAATATACCCTCTCTTCTTATTTCAACAAGTTGGAATCAAGTTGAAAACCTCTTTTTGTCATATTCTGATGTCTTTCCATTTGGTTTCTTGGTCAGCAACCTGCAATCAACACTTTAAAAGAAGTAGAAGCATTCTTGAGTCAAAACCCATCTGAAATCATCACCATTATAATCGAGGACTACGTGCATACTCCAAAAGGGTTGAGCAATCTCTTTGCTCGTGCTGGTTTGGATAAGTATTGGTTCCCCGTTTCCAAGATGCCGAGGAAGGGTGATGATTGGCCTACTGTCAACGAAATGGTGCAACAGAATTTGCGTCTCCTGGTTTTCACTTCTGTTGCTTCAAAGGAAGCAGAGGAAGGAGTTGCTTATCAGTGGAAGTATATGGTGGAAAACGAGTGTAAGAGATTCAAATTCATAGATTAAGTGTTTTCATATTGCTTGGTTTGTTGTTTTTTCTTATGTTCCTGTCACGTTTACTATGCATTTATTGTTTCAGCTGGAGATCCTGGAGTAAAGCCAGGCTCATGTCCAAACAGGAAAGAATCTAAGCCATTGAACTCGAAGAGTGCATCTCTTTTCCTAATGAATTACTTCCCCACTTATCCAGTTGAGAGCGATGCTTGCAAAGAACATTCAGCTCCTCTTGCTCAGATGATTGGAACTTGCTACAAATCAGCTGGCAATCTTATGCCGAATTTCTTGGCTGTCAATTTTTATATGGTAATAACCTTTTTTCCAACTTCTACCTTAATTTATTACAGAATAATCCCCTTTCATCAGAGTTCTAGTTTGGCATTCTTGACTGAGGTGCAAATGATGCAGCGGAGTGATGGTCCTGGTGTGTTTGATGATCTGGATCGAATGAATGGCCCGACATTGTGTGGTTGTAGTACTCTTGCCGCATGCCAGGTTTGTGTATAACTTTTTAGTTTGTGTTTTCATCAGCGAATATTGATCTTATCCAGAAGTGAGATATCGAAATAGGTAGATCAATAATAGAAAGATTTGAGACTAGGTGGGATTGTGGTATTAGGTGGTCAAATTAGAAAGTAGATGTGATTGAAGTGATGAATATTGATGGGGGGATTTATTCAATTTTGTGATGTCCTCCATCCTTTTGCTTGTCCCTAAAGTAATGAGCACATAAATCTAATAAGTGAGAAATTGGGCTTTCACTTGCCTAAAAGCAGCACTGCCAATTCTTTCAGTTGGTAAAATTACAAATCTTTCGCCGATGGAATGTTGGATATCTAATACCTTCGATCGCCTAAACAAACAAGTGATTTTCTGCATTCCATCCGTTGAAAGAATTGGGGCGACAATCCTCTGGTTAAATACCACTTCCAGTTCCAAAGGACCTCTTAAGCAATCCAATATGCTCCTGATGTTTTTTAATCGTTCCAGCAATGTCCCATCTTCGTGAGTCAATGAACTTCCCTTATTATTGCAGGCTGGAGCACCTTTCGGGTCATGCAGAAATATTACTACACCTAGTACAAGTCCTGTAACGAATACTGCAGGAAGCATGTCGTCAAGCCCAGTAGGAGGAGCTGGAACCTTTTCAGGCTCTGTTCAGTTTAGATCGGCTTCAACATCCACTTCTCCAAATATATGGGATTTCTGCTTGATAACCATTCCATTGATGGCATTCCTATTACAGAAAAAGTAAATGACTACTCATGGTATGAGGTATAAGAAGCAACCCTCTTCTGGTTAATGTTGCTCTAATCTTCTGCTAAATGCCACTCATGGTATTTTGGCATTACCTGGTGCAGAACTCGTGATCACACGTGTGATGTTTCCTTTTCCTTGTCGAGAAGCCCAAGCACTTCCTAGAGAGGAGCTATGTAATGGCGATGCTGAGAACCTTTGGTATAAGTAGTGACTTCTACAAAATCAGAGATAGATAGTAGTCAAAGTAGAACCATTGAACATGTCAAGTAGAGGTTCCGGTAAGCACTAAGCAGCTTAGTTTCATTACAGTATTTTACTTGGATCTTTTTGTACATACTCAATGCCTTCTGCCAAACACCATTGCCTTTTGTTTCTGATCAACACCCACTTCAACTGCTAGATGACATGATGCATTTCTACTCTGATAATCTTCGTTGTATAACTCTGCAAGACTTACCACTAAGATCTTCCCTACCCTAAGTGTGGCTAATCCTCTTTATTTCAATGTTTGTCCACAGGTTCTCTGTTGGCCTTTTAGCCCCTTCGGTTTAGTTTGGTGCAGGCAGGGATTGAAGTAGCAAAATATGCAGAGGTGCATATCCCTTATTTATTATCATGCCTAGGGTTTACTTTGTAATTCTATTCAAACACTCTATAATATAGGTGTTTTGCTTTGCTTTGCTTTGCTTTCCACTACCACGCTCCGCACTATGTATTACTCAATTCTACCTTGCTGAATGCTTGTAATAGACCATTTAGGTTACTGTAATGGAATCCTTATATAGACCTGAATTTTCAGAATCCACCTAGCGCTTTGAATACCCGCTGAGATGATGAACAATGTCCTGGTAACATTAATATAGGGTTTCTTACAGAATCTGTTTGTACAGCACTAGCAAATTTCGATCACTTCATTTATATTACATCTGTGTATACAATGATGGGGGGGGGGGGGGGGGGGGGGGGGGGGGGGGTAAAGGAAAACTGTAGTACTTTACAGAACATTGGCAGGCAGGACAATCACTCTGCACTTTTGAGCAATTATTTCAACAAACAATTGAAATACAAAAGAACAAATCTTTACAAATGAAACACAAATCGAATTTCCTCAAGCGACAGGCAACATAGAAGCCGAGGTAGCACCACCATTGTTGGACAGCAACCCAGCTGCCTTTATGTGCAGAGCTGGACTAATGGTGAGCAGAGCAATGAAACAGTCGACTGGAACTCTAGTTCCCCACACATCCATCGCTTCCAGCTTCCTGCACTTGTTTACCAGACTAACAAGTCCAACCTCCGTCACATGACGGCAGCTCCACAGCACAATACTCTGCCCAAAAAAAAACCCCAAATTTGTAAACATCAAACTACCATCCACCTTGTTCTTTCACGTTCTTATGATTGAAGCTCGAAACCAACCTTCAAATGTGGGCAGCTTTCCGCAATGGCGAACAAGGAATCATCAGTGATGAACGTGCCACCAATGTTCAGGTGCTGCAAGGAGCTAGCCTTCGATATCTGCCAACCAAAGAAACAAGCAACAACAAAGTCAGGATAACGTTTGAAGATTCTAAGGTCTCATTTATGCTATGGATTCAATAGACCAACCAACCAGATGAACAACGCCATGATCAGTGATTCCAGTCATTCCCCAAAGTGAGATGGATGTCAAGTTTGGGACGCAGTTTGCTGCAGAGATTCTGCAGAGACCCTCATCGGTCACTTGGCAACCCCACCTGCTCCTTGATCTGGTTAAATTTCAAGCATTTCAGTAGCGTGGAATTAGCAGAACAAAAAACTCAAAGACTGCAAAACAAAAAGCTCTAGAACAATCACAAACATGTCAAGTTCTTTGAGGGAGAAGGCTAGATGGACGAGACGGGCAGTGGAATCATCATCCATCTTCCACCCAGCAAAGCTCAAACACCGCCTTCTCCCCACCGACTGCTTCACTCCTTCCTTCCATTTCCTGCAAACCCCAGTTGCCCTGCACATCAAAATTCAGAACCCAGGACCCAACATTCAGCCATGATTGTTAGTTAGCTTAACTAACCAAGCCAAATCAAACACACCAGAAAGGAACCCAACTGAGCTAAATCGGTGAAGGAAGTGAGGAAAGCGAATATGTGAGACAGAAGGTCGGTTGGGAGCCGATCAATCTCTTCCTCCATTACCAGAGAGGTATGACTGAATTACGCCAAATGGGTTCTCAGGGAAACTTATGGGGTGTGGTTGTGAAGTCTTAAAACACTTTCTCTGTCTCGTAATTAAGAAGAAAGAGGAGGAGGAGGAGAAGAGATAGGGGACCTGGTGGTGGCGAGTGGTAGTACGTTAAAGTTTTATGAATCAAGCTTCCCCACCATCATATACCCCAAAGAAGCTGGAGAGTTCAAAAGGAATTGAGAGGAAGGATTGAGAAAGGATGTTGTCATTATATTGTCATCACTTCCTTCTGGAATCTCTCTCTCTCGTCGTTTCTTCTTTTGTTTTTCATTTCTTCTTGTTTAAGAGAAAACCATTGGACGAGGAAAGAGATTCTCCAGGGGGATGCATCCATTTCTGTTTACCGTGCTATCATGTTGGTTGTTGGACTTTCTCAATCGGGGGGAAAAATTCGAAGGGTAAATATTTGATTCACTGTAAATTCCATTTTAACACGTTGAACTTTATTTTATAGTCGGTAATGTTAGTGAATAATATACGATCCACGATTGAATCTCTCCCAACAATTCGAGTTATTGAGATCAACTGGTTCTTGATATGGTATCAGACCCTTATGTGACCAAAAAATCTTGTGTTCGAATCCCGGTGATCCCAGTTTGTGAAGCACAATGTTAGCTGAATACATTGCTATATTTTATCACGAATACCATAATACTAAATTGTCCAATGCAATTTCTCGTCGGAGTGAGATTATACGAAACCAAAAAGTCAAATAGAGAACCAAAGTTACATTATGTAGGGGTGGATTCGGTTCGGTTCGGTTATAACCGATAACCGATTGGTCGGTTATCGGTTAACCGAAGCACCATCTCCCCCTACCGAACATCGACCGACGCCAATGCCTCGGTTAACCAATAACCGACCGGTCGGTTATCGGTTAGTTGATCGGTTAACCGAGATAGCCGAAAAATGATGGTGGTTCGGTTTTAACCGGGTAAAATTATTAGAATTGCCTAAAATAAAAGGTTCTAACTTACATTTCTACATCTAAATCACCAAATTAATGTATCAAATTCAACAACATAAAGTTATAAACTTCATAACCGGGTATTTTCACGTGGTTTTGGTGAGGGGGGCGGTCGGTCGGTTATTTTTTGTTATTATCAGTTAACCAAATTACCTATTAGGAGCTCCGACCACCAACCGAAGCATATAATTTTCGGTTATCGGTTAACCGGCAACCGATAACCGAACCTCCAGCCCTAATTATGTAATGACAAACATTAATTAAGAGGTCTAGTTGACCTTTGTGACAAGGGGGAAAACTAAATTATCATCAAAACATTGCGTTACTAAATTCCTTTAGCTATTCTGGTTTTCCTTTCAAACCCCGATTACTTTCTATGGGAGGAAATAAGGCAAACACAAAATAGCAAGAGTTCGTGACATGTCAAAGTGTCAATGGCGTCGTTCATACTTTTTGGCAAAACAGCATGTTACGGTTTCACGTGACGGACCACTAACCACATGAAAACTGTTGGGCCATTTTATGGATAGGCCATTAGGCCCAATCAATGCCAATCCTTCCATCCTCCTTTACAGTCCAACCCAACTAACATTTCCCAAGCCTACATCTGCTTCACAGCTTCATTTGGTAGCTTTTTCTTGTATTTTACATGGCGCTGATTAAACCGAAAATAAATTATTAAATATAATGTGTTGTTTTATATATATATATTATAGAATTCTATGCATTGTAAAATACAATGTTTGGTATGTGATTATATATGTCACATTAGTTAAAAGCAGTGATAAAATAATTTCAACTCAATTATCTCAACAATCACCGCTAAAAACTGATATATAACAATCACTCATTTTGAATGATAGATTTTGTCACATCACATAAACAATCCATGTATTGTGAGTGTACATGGACGCTGGACCGTGCTTGGGCCGACACAGCACGGCCGCACGGGTACGCTTCTGGCCCATTTATTTCGTGCCGTGCTTGGCATGGCACGTCAGTTTTTGTGTCGTGCCATGCAAGCTCATTTGTTAACTTTGCTAGGCCCGGCCCATGCCTGAGCACGGTTCGAATCGTGTCGTGCCTATTCGTGCTCGTGCCTATTCGTGTTTAATGAAAAGGACGAAAACAACAGAGAGAATGAAAAAGAAGGTAAAAATTGGACGGAGGAAGATAGTATTAACCGATAATGTTTGAGAAAAGTAACAAATAGGGGGGGGGGGGGGGGGAAGAAAATTGGAAGTATAGCGAGTGTGATTTGTCTTTGTTTAATTCTTTGTCAATTTTTACTTATGTTAGTAATTACGTATATATCTTTATGACATTTCTAACAACAACAAATAATTATTTTTATACTTGTGTTTTGTAATATTTGAACCTATAATTCTTTTTATATTTATTTTCTATCAAATAAATATTCTTTTCGTGCCATGCCGTTCTTATACTCAATAAAGTATCGAAAATATTAGGCCTGACACGGCCCACTTATATACCGTGTTGTGCCCGTGCTTATGAAGTTTAGGCCAATTATTTGTGTCCGTGCCGGGCTGGCCCATTTATTTCGTGTCCGTGCTCGTGTCGTGCTCTAACCATGTCGTGCTAGCCCGTGGGCGGCACGATCTGGTGCCCACGTACAATTGTGACTGATAGAAAAAATGATACATGCTAAATAATACAAGTATATAAACAAACTATCTCAACAAAACAATACCAAATTTCCTTTTGGTTTTATATAGGGCTGCAAATGTGCGTGGGCACCGGGTCGTGCCACTCACGGGCTAGCACGGCACGGTTAGAACACGGCACGAGCAGGGGCACGAAATAAATGGGCCAGCCCGGCACGAGCACGAATAATTTATGGGCCGTGCCGGGTCTAAACTTCATGGGCACGGGCACGAGCACGGGCACAACACGGTATATAAGTGGGCCGTGTCGGCCTAATATTTTCGAGACTTTCTTGAGTATAAGAACGGACATGGCACAAAAATAATATTTGTTTTATAGAAAATAAATATAAAAAGAATTATAGGTTAAAATATTACAAAACATAAGGAGAAAAATAATTATTTGTTGTTAGAAATGTCATAAAGATATATACGTAATTACTAATGTTGGGGGTGTTACTGAAATACTCCGTGCTTAGACTAAGTAGTAGGGCGCACAATCGGCGATCGGCGACGCTTGATACCAGCTACAGGTATATAAGGGCTTGAAGCCCTCCAAAGGTCCTCTCACTTTCCACTATCTCTCTACACTTTATCTCTCTATCTATTCTCTCAACTCATTCTACACAATATACTGACTTGATCGTCGGAGCTTAATCCGGGGGCATCCCCGGTTCTTTCACAGGTTTCTTCCTCTCGACGAGATCAGACGAACGGATCATGATTCAACCCCACACCAACAAATATCATTGTTCATACCGGAGCAAGGTGGTACAAACAACTAACATAAGTAAAAATGGACAAAGAATTAAACAAAGCCAAATCACACTCGCTATACTTCCAGTTTTCTCTCCCCCCCCCCCCCTATTTGTTACTTTTCTCAAACATTATCGGTTAATACTATCTTCCTCCGTCCTATTTTTGCCTTCTTTTTCATTATCTCTTTTGTTTTGTCTTTTTCATTAAACACGGATACGAGCATGACAAAAGCACGAATAGGCACGACACAATTCGAACCGTGCCCGGGCCTGGACCGGGCCTAGCAAAGTTAACAAATGGGCTTGCATGGCACGACACGAAAACTGACGGGCCGTGCCAAGCACGACACGAAATAAATGGGCCCGAAGCGTGCCCGTGCCGTGCCGGCCCAAGCACGGCCCAGTGCCCATGTACAGCTGCAAATGAGCCGAGCTGAGCCGAGTTTTACCCCAGCTTGAGCTTGACTCGTTAGCAAATGAGCTGAGCTCGAGCTCGAGCCATTTATTAACGAGCCGAGTCGAGTCGAGTTCGAGCTAAGCTTGTTTACTAAATTCTTAGATCGTATTTGATACATTCATTTTGTATGTCGTGTATGGTACATGTGAGTGATGTAACGATAAATAAATAATCAAATGTTCAACATTAATTAATCTTATATTATAATTTGTAGGTGTCATATTGTTTAGTTAATAAATTTTAACTAGTTCAAATTATGTTATTTCATAGTATCGAAACAATTTTGTACATAATTTCTTTATAGAATTAAAAATAAGGCATATTTTTTTACATGTTCAACATGTTAAACTTCACATGATGTGAGATATATAATTTAACAATCCTATGAATTATGAAAGTCCAAATTAGATCGATTCGTCCATAATTCGGTGATCAAGTTGGCCATCAAACCACAATGTTGAGACATTTCATGAGCTCTAAATGAGCCGACTCACGAGTTGAGCTCAACAAGCCATCGAGTTGAGCTAGTAAACGAGTCGAGTTTCGAACGAGTTTTTCCTGATTCGAGCCTCGAGTTGCTCGCGAGTAACTCGAATAATTTGCAGGCCTAGTTTTATGGTGTAATCTGCTCGTTTCAAAGAAGTATCAATTATGCACACGTCGAAGCTTTACCCAATGGGAACAAGACACGATCGTACTACAAACACTGTGGACTGGGGAAAACCATCTGAAAGTTCCCAAGCATTTCAGTGTATGAACCAATCAAAGAATCACCTCCAAATTTTTTTTACCAAACTGTAAGATTTTCATGATGAGACAACGCTCGTGCGCACGATGACGTCTGGTGGTTGATATTGACCACCGAATGGGCCCGGCCCGGCCCGTTGGAAAGCAGTCATTGAGAGGAGCCAGGATTCGAGGATCTTTTCCACCAATAAGAATTTGCCACGCAAGATTTTAGCGTGTCCAGCTAAGGTTGCGGTTTGATTTTAGAAGTTACAAGTAAAACTCCTTCCCTATACATCTACCAATGACCAATCCGGCTAACTACAGTGCTCACAACCCATTGTTGAGAACGTTCTCATAAACATTTGGCGTCGTTAGATCGCGACGTTGGCCGCATCACAACGGACAAACCCACGGCTTGATCACTTATTCGGATCACAACTTGTAGTATAACTCGTCAAACATGGTGACAAATAATATGACGAGGAAGAGTAGGAATGAAAGGGAATTAAGAGATGAAAGACCGACATTATATATATGTTTGCATTCCAACTTTATCGTTCACTCAATCTCATAGTTAAGGATCAGCCGATTAAATCAAAATCGACTCGATTAATCCGCTATATATTTAACACACTGCGCATATATTACATGTCTCAAAACTTCACACTCTTCGAGTCTCAACAAATCAAGACTGACACAGTGACGAAAGCCAATCAAATCCAATCCTCCATATCTTTAACCAAAACCTGCGCTTCCCCCACCTTCAGAGACCAATTATTACACCACTTCTCCGGTCACAATTCTCAACGCCACCAAGCTTTCAATACAAACAAATAGCAGACCACCTTTGCCGCAACAATGGCGCCTATAACTAACTCCATTCGTCCATAAAAGAATCAGCAGCATTTCCCTCATCTTATCTCTCCTTGGCTCCCTAGAAACCCAGACCACGAAGGAGGAAATCATGGACAATTCTCCCCTGAAGACAGCACTCTCCTTCTGTTCATCGCCTCGCGATCACCATTGCTATCCCGATCAACCTATCCCTGCAGACGAAATCTCAGCCTTCCTCCACCAATTCCTCCTCCTCCACCCCCAATCCTCATTCTATCCGCCTCCGTTCACTCCCCAAGCTCAGTCGTTTGTGACCCCGGTCAACGCCGGGAGCTCTGTTCTCGACCCGGCCCGTGACGGACAATTCCCCAGTAACCTGATCCATTTTGGAGGGAACATTGCTGGCCTCTGCAACGGCGCCGGGAACGAACCTCCCGACGGACGTGAAGCCGAAAGAGAGGTACTTTCTCAGTTCCCACTACCATTTCTTGCTTCCTCTGTTTGTTGCTCTGTTTTTTATTAAACGATGCAGGGGAAATTTTTAATTAGTTTCCCTGTTTGCAGGAAGCTCCGGCGGATGAGTTATTGCCACCGCCGAAGACGCCTTCTAAAAGAACCCGTGCCGCCGAAGTCCACAACTTATCCGAAAAGGTCGGATGCCCATTTCTCCTTCTTCTTCTTCCTTCATTGTTTTGGGTCGTTTCAAATGGTGAAACTGATTTGTTATTGTTGGCGATATGGTGGGGGAGGCAGAGGAGGAGAAGCAGAATTAACGAGAAAATGAAAGCCCTGCAAAAACTCATCCCCAACTCCAACAAGGTAAAAACTAAAAAGTACACACAGTATGATAAAAGATTCTATTTTTACAACAACAAAAAACAACTGTTTCTCAGAAACTCTGTTTTTGGGTTGGAATTCAGACGGACAAGGCTTCAATGCTTGATGAAGCAATTGAGTACCTGAAGCAGCTCCAGCTCCAAGTCCAGGTTCATTTCTACTCTGTTCATCTTCTGTAATAGTTTTGTTGACACACGTTTGGACGTTTGGTTCCAACTTATTGATTCTGTTATTGGGTCATGCCATGTTGCTGCAGGTGTTGTCAATGAGAACTGGAGCGGCGGGGTTGCATCAAATGAGCCACAACAACATTGCCGAATCCTTCCTGCAGCAGCAAGCTCGTCAACCGTTGCCTGCTTCTCGACTCGTGAAGGTCAAGGCAGAAGAAGCTGTTTCTCCGATGGATGAACAGAAATCCCCTGCTGCTGCAAATGGAGCAGTGATTAAGCTGGGGAAACAGAGCTCTGCTGCATCGAATGTAACCCATTCGATGATCCGTTCTTCCTACTACTGAGCTTGGTCTAGTGACTGCTCAGTTTGCTAGTGGAGATCGATGCAGAAGCCTTTTTAAAGCGCAACATTTTGCTTCTGCGTTGCCACTGATGTTCTGTTTCAAAGCTTTAGTAGGGTTCTAATGTTGCTGCCTGTACGTTGTTCTGCTTTTGTACATGGGTTTTCCCGTCTTTACATATAGAAGGCGAGGAAGAACTAATTTAATTAGATTTCATTCAGTTCTCTGCTGCTCAATCTGATCCTTCGTTCATGCACGACACAGTATCAGGAGGATTTGCCTTTCATTCTTGTTTTCAGAAAGACTTTGTTCGCTTTGAATCTAGAACTACACGGGTTTTAATTGGGAGTTGCTAAATGTCGCCCTTAAAATTGCTAACGGTCGCCCTAAAAAATACCAAAGTTACACTTTTACCCCCTTAGCTTCTTTACCTTCCCTTTAGCAAACAAACACCACTTAGACTAAAAAAACACTATCCAAGGAGAGAAAAATCCATCATCGTCATTTTGAAGCCGATATCGTCGGTAGGACGTTTGAATCATGAGTAGCGACTCCGACGAGGTAAAAACATTTACTGGAAAAATAAAAATAAAAACACAGAAAATGGGAACCGCGACTCAGATGTGGTTGGACCATGATTCAACCGCAGGTCACTTGCGGTTCGACCATGGTCCAACCGCAACTGAACTGCGGTTGAGCGTTTTATGGTTTTTTTTTTCAAATCAGTATTTTTCTATGATTTATGGTTTGTTCCATGAGATAATTTGTTGGGTTTTGATTTATATAATTTTCTAGATTTATTTGCATAATTATTTTTGGAATTGAAGGATTTAGCATTAGAAATTAAGATTATATTTGGCCTTAAATTAAGATTAGATTTAATTTGGTCTTAATAGTATGGATGACAAAAATATCCGTAACCGTGGATATCCGCCCGAATCCGACCTAATCGAGTAGGGTAAAACCCGAACCCGAAGAACATTTAGTGGGCACGGGTAAAACCCGAACTCGAATATTGCGGGTAATGGGTGGACATGGTTTTCTCACTATCCAACCCGAAACCGCCCGATTATACGTATGCATATGTATTTTGTCTAAAAATAATCAATATTTTTCTCTAACATATTTTATATTGAGCATATAAATATAATATTTTTATGAAATTGTGTTATTTTAATTAGTTTTCTTCATTCTAGTGAATTATTGTTGTACTTTTCTTCATACGTAACGTGAGAATACTTGTGAATATAAACATATTGGTTGGGGGGAATCGATACCAGCAGAATAACTAACCAAAGTACGTTCAGTTGAATCGCCTGGGCCGGACCAACAGCGGAAGCCTAGCACTAAGTGCAATCTCCAGCTTCTTTCTTTGTTACTGCTGCCATACCACAAGGTAATCCAATAAAGAGAAACTATTACCCATGGATAACCGTGGATACCCGAAACCCGAACGAATATGGGCACGGTTTAGATTTTTTACCCGTTTCTTATGTGGGTATGGGTATGGGTAAAACGCGAACTTCGTTGGGTAGGGTAACGGATATGCACTATCCGTCCCCGACCCGACCCATTGCCATCCCTACTTAATAGAGAAAATTAAGATTAGATTTTGCATTACAAATTAAGATTAAATTTATTGCATAAATAATAGATTCGCATATGAAGTCATGATGATTATTAAATTTAATATAGTTATGAAATTTTAAATTTATCATATGGTACTCGTTAAATTGACGATATAGAGTGTTAAATTTTTTTAAAATTTGTGGGGTATCACTTATAAATTCTTACAACATTGCAGGATATTGGAAGTTACATCCGGATGGCCATGATTACACCTCGGATTTCATTGATGGCGTGAAATACACTGCGGAGTTGCAAGCATATGAAGCAACTAGTGAGATTGCCAAGGGTTTTGGGTTTTATTTTGTGAGGGCAACGAACAAAAAAAATAAAAATGAAGGTACTTGGCGACATTACTTACATTGCACTCATGGTAAGAAGAAGAAGTCGAAGGAACCTGATCCGAGTAAGGAAATGAGGCCTCTTACATCTACTGAAAAGTTGGGGTGTGAGTTTCAGATAAAGCTTGAGCGGTCCGGTGATGGATATTAGTTGATCCTAGGGGTGCAAATACAAAGAATCCTGGTGCTAATTTGGGTTTCCACTATCATCAGTTGGAGCTATTTCCGGAGGGATCAAAGGGAAGGAATGTTTTGACTAAAGAGGATAAGCAATACATCAGACAGCTGAGATCAGCCGGTGTCCCACCAAGGGATATCCACAAGGCAGTGAATGAGAGAAAAGGTGCAAATGGAACACACAACAGAAAGCAGATTTATTACGAGTTGCAAAACATAAGGAAAGAAGAGTTTGGTCAGATGACATCCTTATAGTATACTTTCCGCGTGGCTCAGGAGAAGGGTTACTATGTGCAGTATATGGACGATCGTAACGTGCTTACACACTTGTTCCTATCCCACCCCAAGTCAATAGTGATGTTGCGAGCTTGGCACCATGTGATCGTGATAGATGCAACATACAAGACCAATAAGTATGATATGCCTTGGGTTGAGATTGTCGGCATGACACTAGTGGGCTTGAACTTTGTCAATTCATCTACAATAGTGTACGACGAGATGAAGGAGTCGTACCAGTGGCTTCTGACGCATTTGCAACATCTTCTTGGCCCCATTGTTCCAGATGTGTTTGTCAGTGACAAGGCAGGAGGATTGGTTGGGACCGTTGGGGTAATGTTTCCATCATCGACTCATATATTATGTCTTTGGCATATAGATAGGAATGTGAGAGCGAAGTGTCTAGCGGAGGTGCGGACGACTCATTGTGGTATAGATGCAGCCAAACCGACAGTGGATCATATCATGGTGTCTTGGCAACGTGCTGTATATGCATTGATAGAGGAAGACATGGATACTACCTTAGACAATTTCAGACGTAGTTGGGGAGTACAAGGGGTATTTGGCAGCTGAGTGGTTACCAGTTAGACACATGTGGGCTAAATGTTATACCAATCAAGTGCAGCATTTGGGTAACACAAGCTCTAATAGGGTTGAAGCTGCCCATTCCTCCTTCAAGAAGTGGCTTCAATGCACAAACCAACTTCGAGAATGGGAAGGAGCCGATCCATAATGATACAAGTTAGAAATTATATTCCTAATTTCGGGTAAACATATTGTATAACTCTTTGTATTAATTTATTATGTTATGTTCTTCATCTAGATGGTGCCCCGAATGTGAATGCACAAACCAACTTCGAGAATGGGACGGAGCCGGTGATCCATAATGATACAGGTTAGAAATTATATTCCTAATTTCTGGTAAACATATTGTATAACTCTTTGTATTAATTTATTGTGTTATGCTCTTTGGCTAGATGGTGCCCCTTGGAGGATTGCTCGGATTCCCAATACTAGTTGGAAGAATTGCCCATGGCTACATTGTTTGGAATCCTACGTGCAACGACTAGTTCGTGGTTGGCACAACCCTATTCCAGATGGACACTGTGGATTTCGATCTATATCACAAGCAGTTACTGGGGACCAAAGGAATTGGCCACCAAATGAGACGCGCTGTTGTAGGGGAGCTTGAATCCCGTCCTGAGCTTTATAGAGAGTACTATGATGGAATAACAAATGGAATAGAAAATGTTCTTCGACGTTGCAGGTGGGCATCAACAAGTGGTTGTGGACCTTCCAATTGGATGGATAATGTGGAACACTTCGTCTTCGCCACCTTGCATTCATGGGCTATCGTTGTATACAGTCAAGGTGGTCGTTATACCGTGCTACCTGTGATGGCCCCACCACGAGTAACAAGACCACGTGGGATCTTATCACTACATTTTACGCGGGATCATTGGGTGCGACTTGACTTTCGACATGGTCAAGTGCCCATGCCTCCAATTAATGGCCTTTGGCCTATTTTTCATGACCCTAGTGTCAATGGGTGGGATCAATTCTTCTTACATGAGCGTGCACTTTATGATAGTTTAAACCCACGGGGATTACGATTGGAAGTATATTTACGAATTGTATAACTCTCTATTATTGAAACATTTAGTAATCTACCATGTTGATTAACTATTTTAGCAATGCATTGAATGTAACTAAAGTACAAAACACAATCGTCTCAATTCAACTACAAACGATGACAAATAAAAAACACAATCGTCTCAGTTCAACTACAAACGATGACAAATAAAAAACACAACAGTCTCAGTTCAACTACAAACGATGACAAATAAAAAACAGAAACGGAAGTGATAAACATCTAATGAGGCGGCTGCCCTACCAACTGGTCGTACAACTTGTGAACTCAAGCTATCATATCGTAGAACTTACCACCGTCCTCCTCAAACTTACTCCGGTCCCTTGTCTGCAACACGGGACCTAAACGATCCACAATCTGCTCTCTCAACTTTAAATAGAAAACAATGTTAGAATAAATAAGAAATGTCATTTATATTTGGAAAAGCAAAAGAAAGTCATAACTAACCTGATGAACTAGTAGTGGTCGCTGCTGAGGCACCCCATCAGAGCTGGGGTGGGTGATCCGTGGGTTCGATCTAGTTAGATACCAGTCAACGTACTCCTCCACGATATTCGATGGGTGCTCGCACGGCCTAGAAGCAAAAATCAAATCTAGACGATGGGCTGGCACATTATCCCACAACTGATTCACAAACGGATCCCAAAAGACTCTATAACTGCTTCCGGAAGTCGGACGATACTGGTCATGTGGTACCATCATAGCACGGGGGATAATCTGTCGGTATCCAAACTAGCGCAGACAACGTGCAGGATCGTATCCCTTAGCAATGTCAGAAAAGCGAATGATCCCAGTAAACAAGGAGTGGGTATATCTGTGTAGCCATCTCGTATGTATGGAGTCCAGGTCACATCATCAGCTGAAAGCTGATCCAACAACTGTCGATAACGTGCTAACCTCTGTCTAGCATCATCCCCACCTGGCAAACGGGGAGAAATCCACGAGGTGCATCCAGAGACTGCGGCAGCTGGCTCGGACGGAATAGAGGAAAGTACTCATATATCCAAGCCTGAAGCAGGGTCAAATAACCACAAACACTCTTACTACCCGCTCGTGTGGCCACTCCCAACTATCTGTAGAGATAGGCTAGTGCACCAGTTCCCCAAGCGTAATCAGTCAATCGTCGATGATCCTTCATAAACAAGTTGATCGCAGGACGAAGGCGATCACGACTCTTATCCACAAAAAGCGTGGATCCCAGTAACACAAATAGGTAACACTGCACCTCCATCTCCTTAATCTTCAGCTCTCCCCCACGCACCAACAATCCCTCCGCATGCATAGCACCATTATCGTACCACTTAGACTTCCACTTACCACCAACATGAGCATCCACCGAAAGTCGAACTAGACCACCCATGTCTGACTTAAGAATATCTGGCGATGCCTCATCTCGCATCAGCTCTCCATCAACTGGAATACGAAGAATGTGATGCACATCGTGTAGAAGGATCGAAATCTCTCCAAACGGCATGTGGAAGGTGTTTGTGTCCGGCTGCCACTTCTCCACAAATGCCGACAGTAGAGTCATGTCTAAATGTTGCATCATGCACCCTATCACGTGAGACAATCTAATGGCTTCAACCATCTCCTTGGAACTCTGCACTCCACTTATATCGCCTCAAAGACTCTACAGCTTTCGGTCTATGGAAGTCCAACACTCCACAGTCCTGCTCAGAGGAAGTCCACAGTACAAAGCTAATGTGACCTCCAAAGCTAGGGTTACATCGGGAATCACTGGTCCACCTGAACACATCTGAGACTCAGATGTAAGAAACCACGACATATCTTTCCTCGTGGTCTTCCTCTTCCTATTTCCATCTCCGCCTTCCTCGCTACTAGGTCTGGACGCATAGCGTCCATCGGGCCCACGGAAGTGACAGGAGGTAGTAGAAGATATCCCGACCCGCGCCGTCTTCCCCGCGCCTAAATCAACTTGAGGTGGGGCATCCCCAACCTCAGCATCACCAGCATCTGGGGCATCCCCACCAGCATCACCGTCATCATCGTCATCCTCGTCAATGGAATCACTCCATTTAGCCTGCCATGTCGGTGCGCTCTCTGGTGTAGGAGTACTGGTAGTACCTCGACTAAGAGACAACTGCCCCACAGTAGGGTGGCCGTCAGGACGCACTACATCCGCCTTCTTCTTCTTCCTTCTAACCTTAGATGGATTTTTTTCTTCATTTTCCTTCCTACTAGTCGTCGTAAGTCTACACCGACGACCTTCCATTCTCTCCATATTTCTCGCCTTAATCATATCCGGTTTACCCATTCCATGTCCAGACATCTTAAAAAAAAAGGTTGAATTATTAATAATGAATTATTAATAATGAATTATTAATAATGGAGTACATAAAGTAATTAATTTAAGATTTTCATAATTAAAATTATAAAACTAATAGTTTGAACATTTATGTTACGTTCTATGTACAATTAATCATTATTTACATAAACGTAAATAATTAATCAAGATAAAATTATTAATAATTAAGTAGATAAACGAATTACTGATTTTGATTATTAAAATGATAAAGATACATTTTTAATTTTTTTATAATGTTCTTTAAATTTGTTATCATTAATTAACATTTATCGAATACGTTTTTTAAATTTTTATATCATTATTGACAAAATATATAACTAAATTATATTTATTAAGTATATTTTTTTAATCATTTTTATGATAATTAACATTTATCGAATAATAAAAACACAGAATATTAAAAAAAATAGAATATTAAAAAAAATGCGGTCTAACCGCGCGTTGACCGCGGTCAGTCGTTGGTCAAACCGCGGTTTGACTGCGGTCGAGTGTACCTTCTTCTCCGATCTTCTCCGGCGACGCGAGCAGCGGGCGGCGAGGTGAGCGCGGGAAGACGGGGGCTCGCGTGGGCGGCGGCAACGCGGCGGAGGACGGCGGCGACGCGAGGGAGCGAGCGGCGACATGAGCGACAGAGCGATCGGCGGCGGCGACTGCGGGCGGCGACGTGAGCGCGACGGAGCGATCGGCGACAGCGACTGTCTAGCGGCGGCGTCGAGTTGCAGAGGTGGCCGACGGTGAAGGGATGGGCAGAAGTCGGCGGGTGAGAGGGAGTTGCAGAGGGGAAGGGGAATGGTCTTGTAGTTAGGGCTTGTTTGTTCACTTCAATTTTGTGTTTTTCCTTAAGAGTATATAGGTAATTTTTACATTTAAGTTAGGGCGACCTTTAGCAATTTCAAGGGCGAAATTTAGCAAGCCAATCAAGGTGATTTCCCGGAGAAGTTACCTATATTTGCATTGCTTCGTAGTGAGTGCATTTAACTTTGGAGTTTATACAAGAGTTCTTCCATTTCATCCATAAATATGTCATCTCAGTTAAGATTGATTTTTATTTTTTTACTCACGAAGCATGAATATCTCCCGTATTTTGTCGACGAGAGATTCGGTTAAGGCGTAACGTACACCTCCTCAAGATTTTACAATCTCATTTCATCTGGTAGCTGTGAGAGCATGCTACTATAATTAAGATGTTTTCGGGTCAAATTTGACTATGGGAGGCCAAGACTCCAGCTCTCTCTTTCATGGAAGAGGGAAATTAGAGGAGGCAAATTTTTTGGGGAAAATTTTGGGATAAACTATAAAGAAATTTCATCTTGTTCATGAGTTATATCACAATAGCAAGATAGTGATCATTAGGGGAAAACCTAGTATAGCAAATGTAAGGGGTGAAAACTCCACTTACTCTTATTGTTTCTTTCCTCACTAAAAATTGAATACTATTTTTCTCTCATTATTTCTTAATTCTCAAATTTTCACTCTTCTCCAACTCTCTCCATCTCTTTCACGAATTTAATGCAGTAATTGAACCCAATTATCACATAATACAGTAATTGGGTTAAAAACCCACGTTTGGCAGCGCAAAAAGGGTATGGGAATTGGACCGTGGAAATTGGCTTCAATTACCACATTCATTGTAATTGAGAATACTACATCTCCCCCTAGTAATTTGACATTACCACGTTTTCTACCTTCTATTTCCAAATGTGTCCCTATGTCCTTCCTCTTTTTTTTTTTTTTTTTTTAATAAGGGTGATATATGTTTCATTTTGTAATTATGGTACTACTTAAGGGATTCGAACCTGGGACCTCCTTTCTTTCTTACTCCTTCTCCGTTTTCGCCTAACTATTTCTTAAAAGAGTAGCCCTTTCTTTTTCATTCATCAATTGTACCTCTTATTCTTCATCTCCCCTCACCTTCATATATCTCCTATAATCCATCGTCAATTTCTTAATTTTGGATTCGCTTAATTATCTCATTCACCGTCGATTTTCCTGCTTCTCCTCATCGAATTCGCCTAAACACTTTAATATCCGTATTTAATGAATTAAATTATTAACTTTATTGTAATTTATATATGTACTTGTTATTAAAATAATTAAGTTTATATATTTATGGCTTTTAATGTACTATTAAATGTAATATTAGCTTAGAGATGAAGTAAGATAATTGTACGTATTTTATAAATAACTTTTCCATATCGTATTTTTCTAACTATGCTTAAGTTTGCAACAATTAGTAGTTAGTATAATACAACAACAACCTTTAGGAGGGGTATATGTATATAAACAAAGGAGGACATTTTTGTATTTTTACCAAATTCCACACCATCAATTCTCACAAAACTAAACCCTATCCAAACGTGGAATTTTGTTCAATTTCCACAAGTCAATTCCTTGGTTTTGTAAAACATAGAAATTCAGGCAAATTCCCACGTTTTCAAATTTCCACATCCAAACGACACCGTAATGTATTCATCATCAAATCGCGAGTAACCAGTTTGTTAGAACCACATTAATAATTTCATGCAACAATGAAATTCGCAACAAATCATAAAGAATTTGTTATGAAAATATATTTCTATCACTCATCATTTGGTACATTGTTTAATCAATATAATTGTACGATCCCCTTAAAAAAAATGTACGATAAAGTACATAGGTATATTATCACTCGCACCAACTGCGTTGGTTTCTTCACTACCAAAAAGTATGTTAATCTATCAACATAATGTTAATAGCAAAAATCAAATCTTAAACGTTAATAAATGTTATCATCCCACTTTAACATTAACACAGTTGGTTTTATGCATTGGACAAAACTTATCTATTATTCTGAGTTCTGACCTTTTACAACTGTCCGATCGTAGACTCCAATGGCCAATCTATCATCATGAAAAAATTGTGGACAACAAATTGCTATTCTTTCTGACCGAAATATTAAAAAAAAAAAATACTAGAAATTCTCTCATCCTTGTTTATTACTTTATTTCCAATGAAAAATAAAAAAATACAAGTAAGATGCTCATTGAAAATTTCTCATGAGAACGTGTTTACAATGTTTCAAATCGACA